CTCTTTCATAGCACCTTTGGACACCACAAAGCTGCCACAAGGTCTCCTTACACTGGATTTATTCAGCACATTGGCATTTCAGGGAGAGACAAGTTTAAAGTTGCCCAACGTGGCTGGTGATGTCACAGGGGCCACCAGGGCCCTGGAAGGCATCAGGGACATCTGGATTCCAGGTTGCATCATCACTGAATGAATCAGGCAGATAAGGAGGCTGCTGCCTCTGGAAACCTTCTGTTTACACACAGCTATCTGGGTATCCAAGCAAACAGCAGGGACAGGAAAGGAAATTCAGGAAAAAAAACAAACCCTAATAACTTCTGGGTGCTATTTCTGGTGCTGCCACCAGCTCGCTCCGTGACCTTGAACAGGATGCTTCCCTTTCCCTGTGCTTCAATTTTCCCACTCCTAAAAAAGCCACAAATCCTCCCCTAGGCAAGGTAGTTTTCAAGCACTGATGTCTGAGGGCTGTCAGAGCTTTTCAGAAAGACAAGGAGGAGCAGGACAAGCCTTGAGGGCTGATGAAAACTTAGCTTGTTACAGTGGAAATACCACCTGTGAGCACACAGACCACCTGCATGTCCAGAGAGCCACCTGGACACTCCTTGGAGTGAAGGGATGCTCCTGAGCAGGGAATTCAGGGACATGAACCTTTCATCTGTCCCATAATCCTGGCAGCCTCTGGGATGGGGGATAAGGAAGCAGAAATAAAAAGCAAAAAAAAAGAGAGAAGCCAAATCTAGAGCAGAGGGGTAGCTAATGACAAAAAGGAAAATTGCTAAATGAAAAGGCACAGGGATTAAATCAAAACAAGTGGGGTGGGATTCTGGCTCTGTCACACATGAGACTTTCCTTAGGGGTTAGGATGGATTTTGCCCTTGTTGGTTGATGGAATTCTGCATCCTTTAAGCTGACTAGAGCAAGCTGTGAAAAAAAGAGCAATTATTTCTTCTTACATGCCTGCTTTTAACAGTTTTTGGTAAGCATGGAAACAATATGAACTATGTTTCATTCATAAGGCAGCCCTGCCTCCATGTAAATGGCCTTGCCTTTGTTCATCTCTCCTACCTAAAGCAGCTCCAAAACGCTGGGGAAACAGAGATAAGAGGAGCATTTCAAAATATTTTCAATGTTCAAATTTGCAGGGGGAGTGGGGGGAAAGGAGGAGATCCTTTAAGGATAAAATTCCTTCATTGCATCCTTTTATTTCTGGCAGGACTTTTGAAATAGAATATAATACTGGGATATAAATGAGGGAAAGGAAAAGATCCTCAGTGAGTTTTTTGTTAGTTGGAAGAACAATCAATTATTTGACCTCTGGGATAAAGTGGGGTTTTTTTATAGCTACTTATATTTAAGCTTTAAACAAACCTTGGTGGGTGTTATTACCTCCAGGAGTAAGAAATCCAGTGCCCCTGTCCTTGCCATTCATAAATGGGCTTAACAACTTCTTCTCAAAGGGGATTTAAATGTGGGGCATAAAAACCCAACAGGAAAATGACTGCCTGGAGGTAGAGGAAATGTTAAATGAGATTTTGGATGCCTGAAGGATGTATTTATAGAGTCATTTCAGTTGGAAAAGACCTTTAAGATCATCGAGTCCCAACCATCATCACTTCAGGTGCTAGAGGGGATGGAGCAGCATCCCCTGCACCCCAAAAGAGCCAGGGGAAGGAGGGGCTGGAGCCAGAGCTGGCCCTGGGTGCTCTCACATTGGCACATGCCAATGTGTTGAATAAATGCACTGTAAGGAGACCTTGTAGCAGCTTTGTAGTGTCCAAAAGGTGCCTATGAAAGAACTGGAGAGGGACTTTTTATAAAGCCATGCAGTGCCAGGACAAGGAGAATGGCTTTAAGGTGAAGGAGGGCAGATCTAGATTAGAAATTCAAAATTAAGAAGGAATTCCTGTCTGTGAGGGCAGTGAGGCCCTGGCACTGTGGCTGGCCCTGGATCCCTGGCAGTGCCCAAGGCCAGGCTGGACAGGGCTGGGAGTGACCTGGCACAGTGGGAGGTGTCCCTGCCATGGCAGGGCTGGCACTGGATGGGCTTTAAAGTCCCTTCCAGCCAAACCAATCTATGATGGAAATACAATACCTAAATCACTCTCTACAACTCCCTGAGAGGTGGAAGGGTTTCAGGTACACCTGAAAGGTGCCTGTGCTCAGCTGGGGTTGGGCTCTTCCTCCAGGCAGCACTGACAGAACCAGAGCACACAGCCTCAAGCTGCACCAAGGGAAATTCAGGTTGGGTATTAGGAAGAAGTTTTTCACAGAAAGGGTGATACAGTTCTGCAATGGCTGCCCGGGGAGGTGGTGCAGTCACCATCCCTGGGTGTGTTTAACAAAGCCTGGATGTGGCACTGGGGGCCAGGGTTTAGTTGAGGTGTTGGGGCTGGCCTGGACTCGATGAGCTTGAAGGTCTCTCCCAGCCCAGTGATTCTGGAATTCTGTGAATATCCTGTGAGAACCAACCATGCCAGTCCCACCTCTGATTCATGTGACCTTAAAAAATGTGTTCTTAAAAAATAAAAATAAGGTGAAGGGGAAAGAGCAGGACTTTGGGTGCCACATTTCCTCTCCTCCCTGCGGCCGATGCCCTCCCCACCCTCGGAGCCTTGGCTCAGGTGCCAGCTGGGTTGGCAGCCGTGCTGCCAGGGCATCAGCAGAGCTCTGCAGCACCTCGTGCTGGTTTCTGGGAGCACAGGAATTCTGTGTGTGCTGTCAGCTTTTCATCAGCACAAATTACCCAGAGCAGATGGCACACACGGATCTGGATCCAATCCTCAGGAAGCGCAGGATGGCTTTAATGAGAAGTGAATTATTCTTTCTCCAGGATGTTGCACTGATAAATAAAATAATAACAAGTCATGTTACTTGTGGCTTGGCAGTCCAGGACTTCTCTGTCTGTCTACCTTGTCTGCAAGTGCCATCTGCAGATTTCCTGGGAGCCTTTGTGTCTGGCTGTCATCACTGCCTCGTGGAACAAACCTGAAAATCACACTGGGGATTTCTTTTGGCAGCAAACAATTCATTCACCTTCCACCCTGCCCACATCTCTCTGCTCTCTTCTGGCCACTGAGGGAAAGCAGAAGACACAAATTGCCAGCAAAGATGAGTTGTTGGTGATTTGAATCATAGAATCATGGAATTTTCTGGGTTGGCAGGGACTTAGAAGGATCATCAAAGTCCATCTTTTCTAAGTGTTCTTTTCTGATTAGAGCTGCACTTCAAAGGAGACCTTGTGTAGACCTAAAATGCCAAGAGCTGACCCTGCCAGAACCATTAGTAGATGATTAAAATATCTTTGTCAACTCACCATCTCTCTTCTGTAACCTCACCATGCTACATTTTGCACTCAGAAAACCCTGGAGAGCTGCAAACCAAGCCCAGGGCACAAGGGACAGAAAATAAACACTTTTGGAAAAGTTAGGGGAGTAGATGTGGTAAAAGTGTCCCCCGCTCCTGCCCAAGCATCTCCACCTGAGCATTCCAAACCCAGCAGTGCTGCCCCAGTGTTTAACTGCAAATAATTTGGGGCTGGAGGAGTCAAGGAGCTGAAATTTACTGGGAGAATTTTTATTTTCCAGATCCCACGGCGCTGTTGCAACTGGAATCTTCTCACGGGGAGGTTTTGGCTAAAACCCAGGCAGAGGCAGTGATGGGGAGAGGCAGGTGCTGCCTTTTTATAGCAGAGCTGCAGGCATGGGGGTGCTGAGGGCAGCTGGAGAGGCCTGGGGGGGACACAGGAATAAATATTGATTTAATTTCCCTTCTTTCTGGCTTGTTGGATTAATCTGGTAGCTGTGACTTTGTGGGTTCTGTATCTACTTTTTCTCTCAGATGTGAGAAAAATGATTTGCAAGCTCTGGGGTTTTGGGAAGGTTGGGAGAGTAATTGTAATTTGCTAATGGGAGTATGGAGTATTGGGGAAAAAAACCTTAAAAATCTGGTTTTGGGAGAATTTTAATCTTTGGGGAGTTTTGTTAGAGGCTGAATGAATAAACAGGTAAATTCTGTAACTTCACACTCCCCTTGCATTTCTTTTGAACATAAATGAGCAGGTCCAATGTCCTTCAGTTTCTCATTTTTTCCTTTTTCCTCCTAGCTTGCACAAAGGTGAGGGAAAAGTTTAAATAATGGCAGGAGAAGGGAAATAAAAGACATAATAATCTTGTTTGGAGTCAAGGCTGAGAAAGCAGAAATGGCACTGCCCAAAATCTGGATGCGTTTAACCTTTTGATTTTGAAGTGACAGCAGAAACCCTCCTAAAATAGTTTATTAAGCAGGAAGTTTCACAAGAAACCAAGGAAAAAAGGCTCCCCCACCCCAAAAAAACCTCTCAAAATGCCATTGTGTGCTGTCTCAGCATCCCCTGGTGTCCCCAGGGCTGGGACAGTGCCAGGAGGGAGAGCTGGCACTCAGGATTTGAGGATGCTGAGGGCACCATCAGCTCTGCAGGGCTTTGTGGCACTGGAGGGTGATGCTGTGGCTGTCTGGGGACCTTGTGGGGTTCTGGGGCAAGGACAGGGATGGGAGGGTGGAGATGCTGCTTTGGGTAGGGTGGAGATGCTGCTTCAGGGGTCCAAAATGATGGTGAATTGCTGTTCTTGTGCTCTTCATCCTTGATTTTTTCTGGTTACAAACCCAAGCTGGCCACCCCACTTTCCCAGTGAAATGTAGGTTTGATTAAAAGCTTTTTTGGCAGTAGTTAAACGGGATAAGGCAGAGGGGGAGAAAGCATTATTTTAAAAATATGCCCCTACTCTTCCCAATCATGTGTGATGCTCACTGTGACACAATGATTTTCCAACACCACTTTTCAGTTAAATATAGAAGTGCATTTTCTGTTCCTTCCCTCTCCTCTCTGTGAAACAATTGTGCAACTTTCTTTTTCCTTAACATAATTCGGCATTAAAATTAGCTCCAGGGACTAAAACCAGCCCTGTGTGTAGGACGGGAGCTGCCTCCCTTCCCTCTGGATATTCCCCTGGGATTTTACCCCTGCTTTAAATGGGTTGGGGGTGTGTGGCTGTGCTGTGCTGTCCCCTCTGATGTCCCTGTGCTGTCCCCAGCAGTGAGCATGCAGAGTCCAGAGGGTGGATCAGACTCAGCAGCTTCTGTGGCTCTTCACCCGTCGGCCTCAGCGCAGGCACCAGTGGTGCAGCCAGTGCCAGCCTCGCAGCAGGTAAGGTGTGCACAGCTGGGGATGCTGTTGCCATGGAGAAAAGCCCTGCTTTCCCTGGAAGATGTATTTTAATCCCAGGTTTTGATAGTGGGGAGAAGGTTTTTAATCAGCTCCTTGAGGTAGTGGGGACAACCTGTTGCTAAAGGTGTTGTCCTGTGGGTTTGAGCACTCCCAATCCACATGCAAGCTTTAAAAGGTGGAGTCTGGGGTTTAATTTAGGTCCCCAAGGGAGTCACTTTGTGCCAGCTGGGTGTTTGTTTGGGTGAATTTCCTGTTGTCACTGGTTGGGGTGTCAGTAAGAGCAGGGAAGGTGGGACAGTGCTGAGAGGTACCTGAGAGGTGAGGGCAGAGCTGATGCTGGAGCCGCGTGCTGCCCCCACAGAGGAGTGGCCACAGCTCAGGGAGGGACTGTGTCCCTCTGCTCTGGCCTCCCCTGCCCTGCTGGGGACAGGTTTGGGTCCCCAGCACCAGAAGGGCATGGACAGGTTTGGGCAGGTCCAGGGGAGGCCACGGAGATGCTCCCAGGGCTGGAGGTGGATGGGCCTTGAGGTCCCTCCCAACCCAAACCATTCCATGGTCGCTTCTTTGGGTAGGCAGATCCCAACATTTTAATTTGCAGAGGGGGATTTGTGATTAATGCCCACGAATAAGCTGCATTTGGGAGGCCCAACAGGAGACAAGTGATGAACAGGAACCACCCGATGCAAAATGGGAAGGGTTAAGTGAAACTGGTTCCTTTTTGTTCCTTTTTCTGCCTTTTGGGGAACTTGCAAAAGAAATTTCTGTCTCAGGAAGCTGGAGGGATAAGAGGATGGGTGGGTGTAACTCAGCTTCATCCTTCTCCAACTCCCAAGTGAGCAGCAGCAGCTGCTATTGGATGCTGATGAAAAGGAGCAATTAAAGATTGGGAATTGAAGGAATACTGGATTCTCCAGGAGCCATGGACATCCCCATGGGGTGATCCAGAGTGCTGCTGTCACCTCCCAGCTTCCCATCCATGGAGAGCACTCCCTGCTGGTGTAGCAGGGATGGGGACAGCAGTGACCAGCAGTGCCAGGTGTCTCCAGGATCACAGTGTGGATTTGGCTGTGAACAAAGGTTGGAAAACCTTTGGATTATGAAATCACCCATCCACGCTCTGCCTGTGCTGGAGCACTGAATGGAACTGCATGGATTAAGGAAAATCCAGGGGATAGTGAAGACTGCTGAAGAGGAGGAGCATCCAGAGCCTTCCTTCTCACCAGCAGGACAAAGAAAACCCTGGGAATGAGCTGCTGCCAGCAGGAATGGTGTGAGGCTGCAGCCCTGGGGCTCGTTGAGCACTGGTGCCCCTTTAGGTTTGAGCAGGATGGCCTCACCTTCCAGGTTGGGGATGATTCCTTATCTTGGCTGGAAGGTGATAGCAGAGCACAGGACAGGCAGTGGGCAGTGAGCTGGGCCAGGGATGTGGCATTTGGCAAAAGCAGTGCCATAAAATGGGAAAAAAGTAGGAGAAAGGAAAGGATCTTTGATGTAGGTGGCACTGCCAAGGTCTGATTTCATAAAGGGCTTGTGATGTCCCCACCCTGCACTGGTGAGGGAAAACAGGCGAGGTGATGGCTGAAATAAATGTAGGATCTCAGTGCAGGATCTCCAGGGAATGCAGCCTGGGGACTGCAGATGGAGCAGCTGCCTGAAGATCTGGGCAATTGTCATAAACCTTTAATTCTGCTAGAATTGGATTTCTGCTTGTTACATAGATAAGTTGGGAGGGCTAAAAATCATAAATATCCATGGTAGTTATCCATGGAAGTTATTTATGATGGTTATCCATCATAAATACCCAGGTAGCCAGTAATTCTCAAGGTTGCTTCTGGGATTGTTTTCTGGCTCTTTGTTCTGTTGGCCCATGTGGTATTTGCATTCTCTGAACAGAGAGAGACATAATTTTCTCTCCCAGGATTTTTCCTGGGGAAAGCAGCACAGACCCAATCTCCTGGGTGTTTTTAAAGGATGTGTCTCCTTGGAGAAGGTTTAAGAGGCCATGGAGATGCTTGGCTCTGCTCCCACTGAATCCTTTCTCTCCATCCACCACATCCCCACATTTGTTTTGCTGGATCTGAAGGTGCTGAGCACCCTGAGATGTGCTGACAACCTCAGAAAGTGGAGTGTGAGACAGGGATGATGGAAGTGACAGAGCCACCACCACCATGAAATGTCCCTGTGCCCTTGGTGGCACTGCAGAACCCCCTGAGCTTTGGTGCTGGCAGAAGCTGGGTGGGATTTCTTGTTGCAGGAGGCAGAGTGTGGTTGGGTTTAGCAGCTCTAGGAGAAGGAACTTGGCAGCCAAATGTGGATGTGTGAGGAGTGATTTTTGTTCAGCTGTGGCTGAGCTTATCAATGAACTGCCACATCCTTTCATGGAGGTTTAAAGATGATTCCTGTCAGAAATTTCCCAAATTCAGGGGGCTGAGTTCAGGCTGGTGCACCCAGCCTGAACAGAGGCTGTTAAGATTAAGAGGCTAATTTGGTCATGCTCTTTAGTCTCTGTTGGATTAAGAAACAATTGAGGAATGATGGAGGTGTAGTATGGCTTTCTTACTCCCACCTTACCATGCCTCTGGGGCTGCCACCTGCAGCAGGGCTATAATCTTACAGTGGGAACAGGAAAAATTTTATTTGGAAATGGACAAAATGGGGACCACAGGGGCACTAATTACAGGATGCCACTGCTGCTGCTGGTGTCAGAGGCAAGCTGGCCATGAAATTTTGGAAGAGAACACCTGGCTCACCTGTGTTATGGACTGAAATTGTCTCTTCCTGTATCTTCTTCTTGCAGAGGGTTTTGGTCCAAGCCACGGGCTCTGCTCCCAAAGGGGCACAGATGCAGCAAATCTCTGTTCCCAGAGTCCAGCAGGTTCCACAGCAGGTAATGAACTCCGGGGACAGACTCCCCTGCACCAACAGCTCCCAGTCCCACTTCTGAAACTGTGCCAGATCTACAAAAATCTTAATTAAAGGGCTGTGGCAGTCACAGAGCAGGCATCACTTTCTCCAGCTCTCTCCTCCTTTCTTAGACTGATGACAAAAGAAACTCTCAAGATATTTGAAGTTTAGGAAGAACCTTTGCTGTAGCTGTTGTCTTTCATGTATTTGAAGATTTGATGGATGCTTTCAACTTAAAAGTATTTATTAAATCAAAGTTAAATTAAAATTAAATCCTTTGGTAAAGATGCTTTTTAGAGGCAAAATGATTGGGGTTTTTTTTTAATTAAGCAAATTTACTGCCTGCACGTGGCTCCATAGAAAGGTTTGGTGCCAGAGAGCTGTGCAAGTGTTTTTATTTATTTGAACTTTGCCTTTTCCAGGGCTTGTTTCCTAAGAAACCAGGGATATGTGGTGCTGCTCCATGTGAGCAGCAAGTCTGACCTTCTTAATTTTTTCCTTTACTGATTTTTTGTTTGGTTTCTCCATTTCAGGGGGGGAAAGAAAATTTGATAGAGGGCAACTCCTTCCCTCCCAGAGCAACAAAAAAGGGGCTGGGGTGCAGCTGGACACTGACAGGCTCCCCTCTGAAGGAAAGGCTGCAGCATGAGCTCACCCCTATTAGTCAGCCCCAGACACGTGTCCAGAGGAAACCCAGCTCCATTGTTTCCACTTCTCGTGGAGCAACCACTTATTTATCTATTTTAACTTGACCTTTGAAAATAAAAACCTCCTTTCTTTGGCATTCCTGAGCATGGAGGGGAGGGAAGGGGAGGCAGGGAGGGTGTTTTATTTTTTTTTTTAATTTTTTTTTAAGGTAAGGTTGGAGTTGTGCAGTTTAAGCAGCATTTCCTGAGCAATCCCTGACCTCTTGCTGCCTGTTGCAGGTGCAGTCTGTGCAGCACGTTTATCCAGCCCAGGTGCAGTATGTGGAAGGAGGAGAAGCTGTTTATACCAACGGAACCATGTAAGAACCTCTCCGAGCTGTCCCCCTCCCACCTCCCAGCCCTTCCCTCCCCCAGGCTCCTTCCATCCCCAGCCCCACCGTGGAAGGAGGAAGAGGAGGAGCTGTTTCAGGTGTTGTGTTTGGTGTGAGGGTGGTTTCCAGCCTGGGGGTGTTGTCCTCATGGAGGGACTGTCCTCCAGGGAATCCTGGGCTGGTGCTCCCCTGTGCTGAGCACTTTGTGTGGTGACATGGGCAGCTTTAGGAGTGGAACTTTTGGAGGAAAAGGGGGCTGTTGGAAGATTTTATAGAGTAAAGGAATCCCAGAATGGCTTGGGTTGGAAAAGACCTTCAAGCCCATCTCCTTCTAACTCCTCAACACCTTCCATCATCCCAGGCTGCTCCATCCTCATCCTGCCTGGCCTTGGACACTTCCAGGGATGGGGCAGCCACAACTGTGCCAAGCTTCTCTGCCCTTAGAATTTCCTCTTCCTCCTGCCTGCTGTGCCCCATTTTGTGCCTCTTTTTGGCCTTCCTCACCCCAGTTCCACACAAGGAACTGCCCTCACCATGAGCTTGTGCTGCGGGGCCAATCAATCCCATTCCAACAGAGCAAACCCCACTGTGAGAAACAACTGCTCACTTTTAAAATTCCAAAGGTTTATTAAACCTTAACACAAATTACAACAAAGAAATTTTTTTCAATAAGGAATTTAATAAATTTTTTTAAAATAATTTTTAAAATAATTTTTTGAATAAGGAAAAGGTTTTCAGCACTGGGAGTCCTTGTGACTACCAGCCACGTGGCTCATCTAAAGAATATCTATCTCTTAGCTGTGAGAGCTAACTATAACATTACTTATCTATAACAAACCCCCCTTTTCCTTTTGTATAAATCATTTGGCTCGAACAATTAACTCTTATTTTTGATTCAGATAATTTACCCTTACTTCTCAAAAAAAGAAATTAAAATAATTTTTACCAGCATCTGTTGATGTGGGTGAGGACAGTGGGAACAGGAAAAGTTTTATTTGGAAATGGACAAAATGGGATTAGAGAGGCTAATTCATTCTTGCTCTTTAGTCCCTGTTGGATTAAGAGACAGCTGAGGGTTGATAGAGGTGAGTTATGTTTCTTGTTCCTACCTTACCATGCCTCTGGGGTTGCCACCCTCAGCAGGGCTATAATCTTACAGGAAAAATTTTATTTGGAAATGTCCAAAGTGGGATTGCAGAGGCCAATTTGGTCTTGCTCTTTAGTTTCTGTTGGATTAAGAGACATCTGAGGAATGGTGGAGGTGTGGTATGTTTCTTGTTCTCACCTTACCATGCCTATGGTGTTGCCACCTGCAGCAGGGCTATAATCTTACAGTGGGAACAGGAAAAATTTTATTTGGAAATGTCCAAAATGGGATTACAGAGGCCAATTTGGTCTTGCTCTTTAGTCTCTGTTGGATTAAGAGACAGCTGAGGGTTGATGGAGGTATGCTATGTTTCTTGTTCCCACCTTACCATGCCTATGGGGTTGCCACATGCAGCAGGGCTATAATCACAGGAAAAATTTTATTTGGAAATGGACAAAATGGGATTACAGAGGTTAGCTTGGTTTTGCTCTTTAATCTCTGTTGGATTAAGAGACAGCTGAGGAATGATGGAGGTGTGGTATGTTTCTTGTTCTCACCTTACCATGCCTATGGGGTTGTGAACAAGAATTATCTTCTTGGTGGCGAACACAGGGGTTAACCTATAACACCAGGATTTCTCTGACACTAATCGAGCTTTCTGAAGCTGTCCAGCACAGGATTCCCTCTGCCAGCTCCTCTCTTTTGTCCCCTGCACAGACGAGCTGCCTACTCCTACAGCAGCGAGGCGCAGATTTACGCCCCCGCCAGCGCCGCGCCCTATTTCGAAGCGCAGGGAGGAGGAGGAGGAGGAGCTCAGGTGACTACAGCGACATCCTCTCCTACAGCCATTCCCTCTCACAACATGGTGGGCATCACCATGGACATTGGGGGAAGTCAGATCCTCTCCGGCTCGGGAGCCTATCTCATTCATGGGGGGCTGGAGAACTCTAGACATTCTCTGTCACACACCTCACGCTCCTCTCCAGCAACGGTATGTAGCCCTGCAGGCACCACAGCTCGGGGGCCAGGAATGATTCCAAAGGGAACTGAAAAGCCTTCAGAAAATTAAACTGACCTGGCATTATCACTGTTTATGTCTGTAACCTGCCGTGAGTGCAAGGGGGAGAATAGACACTGGTGTACTACACTTATTTTTCAGTTTGGTCTCTTCCTCTCGCTCAGATCGCTGAAATGATGCAGCATTAGAGAAGAGAAAGCATTAATCATTCAAATATTAATAAAGCATTAGATTTGGTTTGGGTTTTTTCCCTCCCAAACAAAATATTTTGGTTTTTAAAGATTTGACCCTGTTTACATTTTCTACTAAAAATTTGTCTCTATTTACATTTTCTACTAAGTCAAACGTCTCTCACATGCTTACCTAAAATATTGAAATATGTCTTCAATTCTGAAGAGACCTGAGAAATTCTTCCTTAACCCATTGGATAATTAGCACATAAGTTATGTTCACGCTGATTATGCTGAGTGCACAGTGATCAAAAAGCCTTTTTGTATATATCTCCTACACCATTGTGTATTCTGTCCTTGCCATATGTTAAGAAAATGTCTTTTAGGGGTGATACTGATCAAACAGAAATGGTTTAAAGTTCTGATTTCTTTCAGTGGTGTCCCTCCAGCTGCCAGCTGAGGTGGCAGGTGCTGGGAGCACAGCTGTGTGGGACTGAGGGCTTGCAGCTCTTCACCCAAAACAGCCTTTTTGCAGTAAGGGCTTTCATTTGGGAATCTCCCAGCCCTTGGCAGCTGCCAGGAGTGCTTGCAGCTCATTTCCTGGGACACTGCTCACCTCCCTCTGCAGACTTCTGTGTGTTTATGCATTCATATATAAATATAAATACTAATGTAGGTGTAATTCAGGGTATGTAGCCAGAATTTAAAATGTGAGCAGCATCACTAGGGAGGAAAACAGGAGCTGTTGCTACTGAGAACTCATGTAAATCTGGCCTGTTAAGTTGTGCTTTCTTTTCTCACTGAGTTTTTGAATATAGACTTTGTATTTTTTTGAATCTTTGTGCCTTGAAAGGTTGCTTTGATCGTGTAGTAACTGTGCTCTGACTTGGGCAGGCATAGGGGAAAAGTCCTTGGTTTGGGTGGAAGAGAAAATGACAGATGCTGAGGTTCTTTTCTTGGATGATAATTGTGTGTGTGTGTGTGTGTGTGTGTGTATTTTAACTGTTCATAGTTAAAAATTAGCACTGGACAATTTGGGTTTTGCTCAAATTTATTATTTGGAAGCATCACCTGTGTGGGACTGCATCTTACAAAACTGCACAACTTTACTCTTGGATTTTTGGAGGATTTTTTTGTTGTTGTTGCTTGGGGTTTTTGTAATTTCCATGGTGATGAGCACAATATAAAAACCCAAGTGGAAAATATGTCAGTAGAAATATCCCATGAGTGGATTTAGTTGGTGGTTATTACATGAGATAAGGCTGTTCAGAAAAAAAAAAAAAAAAAAAAAAAAAAACAACCAAAAAAAACCCCCAAACATTAGAAAGTGACCTTTATGGAAATACATCTGAGATAAATCCACTCTGTTGCATGTACAAATGAGCTTTCTGAAAGTATCTTAACACAAAATACCTGAGGAAGGGCTGGAAAAGGAGAGAAAGAGCCTGGCAGGCAGTCCAGAGCTGTGTCTGTGTGTGGCTGTCAGTCCTTCCAGCTCAGCCCAGGGTCACAGGGGGATGGAGCAGTGCCTGGACTGCTTGGAATTAATCCTGGAGTCATTTGGTTTGGGACCTTAGAGCCCATCCAGTGCCACCCCTGCCATGGCAGGGACACCTCCCACTGTCCCAGGTCACTCCAAGCCCTGTCCAGCCTGACCTTGGGCACTGCCAGGGATCCAGGGGCAGCCACAGCTGCTCTGGGCACCCACCAGAAGGGAAGGGTGGCTTAAGGACAGCAGGGACTGAATTAAATCCGTGGGCAGGAACTTTATTTTCTGTTTTAATGTCCAGCCTAAAGAGAGCCTGGGAAAGGCTGGTGTTAAAGAGGCCAGAGGGACTCTGGCAAAATGTGGTGGGGCAGGACTGGGAGCTCTGTGGGAGGAAAGGAAAGCAGAGCTGGTGCAGGTGGAGCCAGGGAAGCCAAAGGGTTTGCCCTGGCCTTGGGGATGGACATCAGAGTGGTCAGTGCTGGGGAAGGAGAGGGATTGGAGGTGTTGAGGGCAAGGAGGGCACCTCCAGAGGAGAATAGAAACAAGGGAGTATTTCAGGATTAGCAGTGGTGCTTAGGAAGCTGAGAGATGTTTGGTAAAGTCTGTGTGCACTAAAGAAAAATCTTCAGATACTTCAAGAAACCTCTTAGGAAACCTTCCCTCTCTGCTGGAACACCAATGTTCTGCTCCACCAGATGGGCTGAAACAGCACAGGGAACATTCAGTATCTGTGCCAACACAGCATCATTAATCTTCACCTCAATTAGTCTGGACCAAGAGGGGAAATCCTTGAGACCTCCCACAAGTGGTTCCTCAGAGCTCTTCACCTTCCTGCAGAGCTGCTTAAGAGCTTTTGGTCTTTCCCCTGTGACAGTTTTTATTGCAGATGATGGTGTCCTTTAGGATGGGACACCTGCCAACAGCAAAAGGCCAGGCAGCATTTCTGTGCTTGCCTCAGAGCTGCTGCTCAAACAGGCCCTGAGCAGAGGAAGGAAATTGGGTCTCCCTCTGCCTCTGACTCATTTCCTGAAGGCTGTGTCAGCGCTCAGGCTGTGGTTCCTCGTGGTCCATCACGGTGTGAGGCAGTGGAATCCCACTAATCTGGGCCTAAACTGGGGGAGGTGTGAGGCAGTGGAACCCCACTAATCTCAGCCTAAACTGGGTGAGGTGTGAGGCAGTGGAACCCCACTAATGTGGGCCTAAACTGGGGGAGGTGTGAGGCAGTGGAACCCCACTAATGTGGGCCTGAATTGGGGCAGGTGTGAGGCAGTGGAACCCCACTAATGTGGGCCTGAATTGGGGCAGGTGTGAGGCAGTGGAACCCCACTAATCTGGCCCTGAATGGGGTGAGGTGTGAGGCAGTGGAACCCCACTAATCTCAGCCTGAATTGGGGGAGAACCCCTCAAGAAGTGGTTCCACTTTGGGGTAGGACCAAGGGAGTGCTGGAAGTGGTGCCACCTTCACACCTGGCCGTGGCACCGTGCCTGTGGTTGCTGGATGTCACTTCAGAAGCTGGGTCTGATGTGTTCTGCTCTGCCACCCTGCTGTGGCACAGCCTGGCTTTGTGAAGGGCTGGGTTTATCCCAGCCCTAATCTCCACTGTGGGGTGAGTCAGTGCAGGCTGTCAGTGTGGGCAGCAGGCCATGCACAGATCATCTGCAGATGTTTTGTGGGTGTGCCCACAAGGTGTTAAATGAGGACAGAGCAGAGCTCTGGCTGCAGGTTCTGTGTGCTTGTCCTGCCAGGGCACAGATAACGGGGTTTGGGACACCTCAAACGGGGTTTGGGAACATCTGCTGGAGACAAGCAGGTTCTGCTCCTGCCAGGCTCTAATGTGGGGTTTGGGGACGTTTGGGGATTTTTTTTCTTGCAAAAAGTTTGTAGAGGAGTACTGCAGCTTTGGGACCAGCAGCCATCTGCTAAAGGAGCCCAGGTTCTGCCCCAGCAGCAGAATGGAGAAGACAAGAAAGGCTCAGGAGAGGCTTGAGGCACCAGGCAGCAGCCACAGCTGGGCTGAAGGGGAGCAGGAGCCAGCCAGGGGGTGAGGGGCTCCTCAGGAGCCAGAAAGCCTCACCTTGGCTGCTCTGAGATCAATAGAAACCAGCGCAGGTAGCACCAAATGTTCCATCCTGGCTTTTGGGGCAGAACTCACCCAGCTGAAAGCTGGCTCCTGCCTTCTTCCCTTTGCAGCTCTCAGCAGCAGAGAACCTTCATCCATTCCTGCTCGTGCACGCTCTTTGCACCCCAGCTTTAGTTAATTTTTTAGGGTTTTTGACAAAATATGAAGAGGTAAGAGTAACCAAGTCATTACTGCCAGCTCTCCTTGGAAGCCCTGGGTCCAGCTCTGCAGCCAATCTCTGCAATGGATCTGCCTGGTGATGCTTTGCTCTCGGCAGGAAGGGAAAAAGAGGAGGAAAATTGGTTTTTTTTAAATAAATAGGCAGTGCTTTTAGTGGAAGATAAAGCCCCCTGGCCTTGCTTTGTCACCCCTGTGGGGATTCCTGCTGTGTGTCCATTTGCATGTCCCAGTAACGCCTCTGCAGCTCCATCCACATCTGTTTGCCTCTTTTTCACCAGCTTGTTGATAAAAAAGCATTAATCATTCAAATATTAATAAAGAAACAATAATCCTGGCTGTTGCTAACTATCTGATTTCCTTTCTTTTTCCTTTTTTTTTTTTTTTTCTCTCTCCTGTGCACGTTTTTCTTTAGCTTGAAATGGCGATTGAAAACCTACAAAAAAATGAAGGGATTACATCACACAAAAGCAGTTTGCTCAACAGCCATGTAAGTTGCAATCAGAATTTACAACCTTTTCCCCTGCTTTGGTAGGAGAATTATTTCTTTGGTGTATTCAACAGCATGAGGCACTCAAAAGCAGCCTGTGATTGAGCTGTGCTGCCCAAACCAGCCCATTCCCAAGGAAAAATAGGCTGCAAAAAGTGCCCTATGATAATGTTTGCTGCTGAGATGCTCAGGAGTCTGTTATTTATTTATAATAAATAAAAATATGTGTTTATTTATTTCATCTCTCTTGCAATAAAAATTGCTGGCAATCAGGTAAACACATTGGAGGAAGTTCTTTTCCTTTCACTGGAAGTGAAACGTGGCTGGAAAATTACTTTTAAATCCAGAGCCATGACTTGGTGTGAATTGTGACAGATCCTCCTCAGCCAGCACGCACCAAAAGCCTCTGAATGCCTTTTTTTCCCTCTCTCTGTGCCTCAGGAAGCCCATTCCTGTCACAATGCTGTGCTGAATCCATGTGCTGGGCCTCTCTCTCACTCTGCCAACGATTTCCCTGCTTTGTGTGATATTCCCACTGTTCTGCTGGGCCTTTGCATCCTGGTTTGTGGCTCCCAGGCAGGAGCACTGAGGGATGAGCACATGCTTGGGTGAGATTTGGGTTGATCCAGGGAATGTTGGGGTCCCTGGACTTTGTTTTCCCTGTGTTTGGATGAAGCTCAAGCATGTCCTGCACCCATAAATCCCATGCACAAAGTGGTGTTTCTCTACTCTAACAGGTTTTTTCTGGGTTTGGGGGCTGGTTTGTTGTCATTCTTGAGGCAAAAAGTAAAAATCTTTGGCTTCTTCACTCTAGATAAATATCCTGAGACAACAAAAGGAGTTTTAAACCAGTCTGATTCTTGATTCTGATTTCAAGCTCCAGGCCAGGGCTCCTGGGGGAGCTCAAACTTTATTTCAGCTGGTGGAGAGTGAAGGTTTCTGGTTGTAGCTGGGGAAACACAAACCTGCAGGATCAGGCAGTTCCTGTTCTGAGCATCCCTCCCACCCCAGGCTCATACTCCTCAAGTGCTGCACAAGGATTGTGCAAGTCCTGCTCTGCAGGATTTTTCTTCTTCATCGAGGACAAGGTTTGGAAAAAAATCAGGAAAAGGGCAGAGGAAAGAGAGCAAAAGGTAGAAAAGAGATTTCACTGACCACAAGCAATGCAGGATGGGAGTGGGGGCCTCATCCAGCCCCTGATCACACCTTCCCCACCCTGGTCTTGCAGGGTTAGAAGTGCAGAACTTCTGGTCTAGGTTGTGATTCATAGTCTGGCCTAAGGTTTAAGTGCTCTCACAAATTCTGGAGCAGAGAAACTCCTTCTTGAGCATGTGTGGGCACAAACAAACTCCTTCCTGAGCATGAGTGACACATCCACCCCCAGCTGGTCCCTCTGAAGGTGCAGCTCCAGGCACAAGGTGCAGGTCCTGGGCTGAGGAACCCTACAGGTCTTTGCTGTCCCCAGTGTCCCTGCTCAGGGAGTGTCTGGGGACATGTGGGAATAAAAATGGGGATGAGCAGTGCCTGAAGGGGACACAGCACACTGGGGAACCAGATCAGGCAGTTCCAGAGCTGGAGGAGCTGCAGTGCCATTGCCCAGGGAGGCTCTGCAGCCTCTGCATGGGGAGGTTCTTTGAGGACTCCTCTGAGTGAGGGACCTGAGCCCAGGGAAGGGCACCCTGATTGAGCAGGAGCTGGACCAGGATGGTTTGGGTTGGAAAGGACCTTAAAGCTCATTCTCATTTAATTCCAACCTCCTGCCATGGGCAGGGACACCTTCCACCAGAGCAGGGTGCTCAGAGCTCTGTCCTACCCAGCCTTGGGTGCTCAGAGCTCTGTCCAACCCAATCTTGGATGCTTAGAGCTCTGTCCACCCAGCCTTGGATGCTCCAGGGATGCTCAGAGCTCTGTCCAGCCCAGCCTTGGATGCTCCAGGGATGCTCAGAGCTCTGTCCAGCCCAGCCTTGGATGCTCAGAGCTCTGTTCTACCCAGCCTTGGATCCTCCAGGGATGCTCAGAGCTTTGTCCAACCCAGCCTTGAATCCTCCAGGATGCTCAGAGCTCTGTCCTACCCAGCCTTGGATGCTCAGAGCTCTGTCCAGCCCAGCCTTGGATGCTCCAGGGATGCTCAGAGCTCTGTCCAACCCAGCCTTGGATCCTCCAGGGATGCTCAGAGCTTTGTCCAACCCAGCCTTGAATCCTCCAGGATGCTCAGAGCTCTGTCCAGCCCAGCCTTGGATGCTCAGAGCTCTGTTCTACCCAGCCTTGGATGCTCCAGGGATGCTCAGAGCTCTGTCCAGCCCAGCCTTGGATGCTCCAGGGATGCTCAGAGCTCTGTCCAGCCCAGCCTTGGATGCTCAGAGCTCTGTCCACCCAGCCTTGGATGCTCCAGGGATGGAGCAGCCACCACCTGGAGATTGCAGGTGGCCAGAGCTGGCTCCCAGTGCAGGTGTGGGACATCCCAGTGACCCCCAGTGCTGAACCCAGCTCTGCTGTGGTACAAAAGGTTCTGCTCTGCAGGACGTTCCAGTTCCCAGCTCTTCATGGCAAAGAACAGAACCACAACAGCAGGGAGAGCTTTACCCATCCCAAATTCCCCATGGCTGGCACACAGGACTGGCAGGCTCCTGCTGGAGGAGCAGGTGACTGCAATTTGTCATGGCTGAAAGCAAATTCCAGCTTGACAAAAGCAAGAGGAAATGGGGAGATGCCTTTAATTGCACTTAGTTGTGACTTAATTGCTCTGAGTTTTAAAGTTGCAGAGTTCTTCATTGTCTTCTGTCCCTTGTTTTAAATTTGGCTTTTTGGAAATGTGCAAATTCTTGGGGTGATGAGGTTTATTTTGTTACCATCAGCAGGTGGTTCATGCCAGGAATCTTTGGGGTTTAAAAAAAAAAAAAAAAATGAGGACAATTAAAGGTGTCTCATTCCAGAGGGAATTTTTCACATAATTTAACTGAAATCAATATGAAATGGAGCTTGATAACTGAATTTGGCTTCCAGACCTCCCTGGGAGGTTATTTAAGTGCATTTGAAAGATGCAATGGGGAGTGAAGCTCCTGCTGAGCCCCAGTGGCACAGGATGGTTCTGGTGAAACCATGTCAGTGTGACTGCAGCTGACAGTGGCATTATCTCTGGGATTATTTCTTTGGGATTGGGATTATTTCTTTGCCAGTTATGAGCTTGTAGATGATGCAAAGAAATCAGAGAAAAATAATTTTTTGCAATTTTTGTACACAAGAGCCTGAAGTTGGAGGAGTTGAGGCCCTGTGGCTGTGGGGTATCCACAGCACGAGTAGGAGTAGGGAGAAAATGTAATTTTTCCTCATTATCTGCAAAATGAAATACCAAAAACCACCAAATAACCCCACTGGAATTCTTTCCTGTGAGTGAATGACTCTGTCCTAACCCTGAGCTCGACTGAGTGGAAATTTAGGAGCCTGCTTGTTGTGATCCCAGCTAAAAACACCTTAAATGTGACCCACAAATGGTTTCTGTTTTATATTTCATAGAAGTGACCACAAGAAAACGTCTCCAAACCTGCACCTTCAAAAAAAAAAAGTTTTTATTTTCTCAGCCAGCCCCATGAGTGGCTTTTTCCACTCTTGGATCGAACCAGGATAAGGTTTTTGCCAGTGTTTTTTTTTTTTTTTTCAAACAGTCAGATAGAAATAAAGTTAAGGTAGAAATGAAAATTAAATGTTCCCCTGTAGTGCCAATAACAACCACAGCAGCATATGGCTGTAGAGTGATTTTATTGAACCTGATCATGGCATAAACAGAAATAAACTGGGGAATATCTGATTGTCACAACTGAGCAAAATTCAGAAAGCAAACAGAAGATATTCAAATGGAAAGAGCTTTTAATTTTCTCATTTTAAGTGCCCAATGTGTTATTAGTTGTGCAGGAAGAACAAAAATCACGTTTGGAAAATTATTTCTATTCTGACAGATCTCTGTTTCAAGCTCTTTTGTGTTCTTCATAATAAATTTCTAATTCAATAGTGGGAGTTCATATTGTGAAACTCTGCTATGTTTGAGGGAATATAAAAAGACATTTGCAGGAAAAGGAAGCTGGGAGATGAAGGGAATTTTCTAGAAATATCAGAGATTAGAATAAAAATGCCCAGGATCAAATTTAAATGAGAGGGCTTATCTGTATCTGGATTTTCCGTAGCAATACACAACTTTTATATTTTTTTTAAGGCTTAAGGATTAAGATTTAGGGGATAAATAGCTGATGCACATCCAGTATCTTCCATAGGATAAATAAAATACCTGGCTTAAAAAATTTGAAAGGATCTTAAGCAATAATCTCTTAAACATAGGGGATGGGCCAAAATTAACATGGATGTGGTCAACTTAAAAAACTGAATTCTTGCTGGTGTTTTATGGCAAAACCAATGGGGTCCACTTTTGTTAGAGGGAGCTGAATGGCTGGGGGAGGCCCAGGGCCACAGAAAGACTTTTTGGGGCTTCCAGGGGTGTCTGTGCTGCAGGTGGGAGCAGGAAGGGTCATTATGGATCATTAACAAAGCATCTCTTGGAATTAACAAACTTCTCTTGGGGTTTGGAGTAGGGATCACCTCAGAGAGTGCCCTGGGTGGAGTGGAGCTGGGGGAAGGCGGGAGGAGGAGAAGAGGCTCCTGAAAAGCAGGACAGAGGGACAAGTGGCCAGGAGGTTTTTCTTCCTTCCAGCTCCAAAAGCCACCAGAGCTGATGGGTGCAGCCATGGGAATTTGTGGTTGGATTTGGATCAGCTCCAGCTGACAAACACGAGATGGTTGGGTTGGAAGGGACCCCAAAGCCCATCCAGTGCCATCCCTGTCGTGGCAGGGACACCTCCCACTGTCCCAGGCTGCTCCCAGCCCTGTCCAGCCTGGCCTTGGGCACTGCCAGGGATCCAGGGGCAGCCACAGCTGCTCTGGGCACCCTGTGCCAGGGCCTGCCCACCCTGCCAGGGAACAATTCCTGCCCAAGATCCCATCCAGCCCTGCCCTCTGGCAGTGGCAGCCATTCCCTGTGTCCTGTCCCTGCAGGCCTTGTCCCCAGTCCCTCTGCAGCTCTCCTGGAGCCCCTTCAGGCCCTGCAAGGGGCTCTGAGCTCTCCCTGGAGCCTTCTCCTCTCCAGGCTGAATGGAATAGTTTTAGTTACAGTTTTGGATGCAGCTGACTTGGTGCAGCAGCAGTTTAATGTGGTGTGAGAAGGAGACCCCCAGAGCACACACTGCGGGGGCTGCAGGGCTCTGTGTGAGAGCAGGGTGGGACACAGGAACAGCTCAGTGGAGAGAGGTGCCAGAGATGTCATCACACAGCTCAAGTTGTCTTTATTGATGTAAAACTCCAGCCTCGTGGTGCGCTGGGACCTTGGAGTGTCACCAAGAGAAAATGAGAGAAGAGAGAGGGATGGTGGCAGTGGAGAGGGTTTGGGTGCAGATCCATGGGCTTTGGCAAATCCCACTGGTGTCTAGGCTAAATCCATGCTCAGTTCCCATAATTGCTTGGACTCTCAGTTGTATGGAGATGCTGTTTGGCTTCCACAACCCAAATCTGCTTTGCCCTGTTCTGGTGGGAATGCAGCTGGTTCTGGTGCAGGGATGGAGATCTGGAGGGAGAGGGAAGCCTGCAAAATGTTCATCCCAGACATGAACATGTTCATGCAAAATGTTCATCCCAGACATGAATCCCCATGACAGTGAAAGGGCTCTTACCCACCCTGTTGATATTAGTCCATGTGCGCATCCAGTTCCTTCCAAAATTCAATTATTACCACACTCATTTTATTGATGCTGAAGTCATTTAGTCAGCTAAACGAGATTGGGGGCTTTGCATTTGAATTCCTGTGCTGACATCGTGTGCTGGACCTGCCCTTTCAGACTATCTCGCTATAAATAATTTATATTAATTGCAAATTTTAATCAACAGCCATGTCAGAAGTTCAGACAGTAAATTTTGCAAAGTAGATGGATTTCCTCAGATTTTGAAGGTTGCTTTGGCAACCATTAATTTTATTGTTAAGGGAGCAGTTGCAGACATGCCAATCTTCCAATTAATAAAGACTTTGCATCAATTTTCTTCCCCTAAAATTTATATCTCTTAGGCAGTATCTCAAGATCTCTTTTCCTTGAAAAATGTGAATTTTTACAGCTTTATTTTAGCTCTGCAGGAATTCATCCGAACCCGAGGTGGACACTGAGGTGGCAGCAAGATTGTGTTTAAATTAAAAATCTGACTTGTTTTGTTTTTGCTGGGGGTTTTTCCATCTTATAAACTGTCTTTTACCATCCTATAAACTACCATAAAGTTATATAAATTACAAATTACGTGAATTAACCCATACAAATTAATTATTCATTTCTCTTGAACTTCTCCATCCGGACGTTTAAACGCCGACCCCGCCTGCCATCCCATCCCTCTTTAGACTTGCATGTTGTTTATTTTTTCCCTGCCTGAAGCTGCAGTGGCTGCTGGATAACTACGAGACAGCAGAAGGTGTGAGCCTGCCCCGGAGCTCCCTGTACAACCATTACCTGAGGCACTGCCAGGAGCACAAACTGGACCCCGTCAACGCCGCCTCCTTCGGGAAGCTCATCCGCTCCGTCTTCATGGGGCTGAGGACTCGGCGCCTGGGCACCAGGTTGGTGGCAATCTGCAGTTCAAGAAACGAAAAGCAGCTCTCCTGCAGTATCTCTGGTGCGCTCAGAAGCTGCTGAGGATCTTTAGGAGGTTCAGGTGTTTCTCTTCTGGGATCTACGGGAGCACCCGACCTCGACCCGGTGGGAAAATGGGTTTTGTGTGAATTTAAAGTGGTTCTCAACTCATGAGGATGCCATTACCCCAGGGAGATGTGTCAGGGGGTTGGGATGGAGCTCAGGGAAAGGTTCCTCCTCCCAAGGGTGCTGGGCACTGCCCAGGCTCTCCAGGGAATGGTCCCAAGGCTGCCAGAGCTCCAGGAGCATTTGGACAGCGCTCCCAGAGTGGGATCATTGGGGTGTCTGTACAGGGCCCCACTGATCACTCTGGTCTCTTCTAATCAGGATATTCTGGAATTCTGCATTGTCTGACAAAGATGAGGTCACTCATCCTCACAATTTCCACTGCAGAGCCCAAAAATCTGGGTCACTGAAACAGTTCCTCCCTGTGCCCCCATGACAAGATCCCCCATGACAGACCCTGTGCCCACAGCTTGGATGCAGACAAGGTGTAAACTTACTAAATTACTTATTTCTGAAATGCCCAAAGCATCAGGCAGAATCTTGCAGAGGGTTTTTTCTTCTAAACTGTCAAAGATCTGTAAGATTTTACAAGAAAAGTGTAACATGAGAAAATAAACTATAATTCCAGACATGTCCTTCAAGGGATGATCCATTCTGCACAGCTGAGCGTGAACTTTATCCCAGCTTATAATATCTAAAAAGTGGGTAATATATTGCCTGTAAAACAGTCATTGCTCTGGTTGTTGAATATGTTAAAAAAAAATTCAAGCTTAAATATCTGGGCTCTTAAAAGAGAACAAAACCAGATGTGACCAGGGCATTCCACAGCTGGAATGTGGAGGTAGCAGTTGTAGGAAGAGCAGGGGAGCATTGGATTTCTCTAGATTGAGTCAAATGTAAGAGCTCTGCAGTGATTTCTTTGGAGGAGAGAAATTCTTTAATCCCATCAAGGATTAACGAATAAACAAGTGAGAGAGTAAAAAAAAAAAAAGAAGCCCTGAAAATTGGAAATGTGCAGGCTGGGAAGGGTACAGTGAACCTCAATTACTATGGAAAGAGCTGACCCCCATTATTTTCTTACTCATTGTAATTTTAGGTTATAAAGGCAGCTGTTATTTAATTTGCATGCACTTAAATCACTTAGGACAGGGCTGAACATGGGCTGTGTGTGAAATCCTTTGGTGCAGTGACAAAGACCCAACAATTCAACTGGGACCTTGAAAAGAGCAAATTCCCCCTAAAAAGAACACAATTTCATAAATACTCCTCTCTTACATTTCTCAAATTTTCCAACGGGAAGCATCCTTGGATTTAAGGTGCCTCCAGTCCCAGTTTTAGTGACACAGCAAAGGAATTTTAAGCCTCCCTACATTGTGCTCTGGAGATGCTGTTGGTGCTTCCCTGGCTTTGTCTCTTCTCCTTCTGAGCTTTCAGTTCACCAGTTTATGGTGACAAATGGGCTGAAGCCAAATTGGACACACTGTCACCACGTGTCCATGGCTGCAGAACTGTCCAAGCTCCCACTGGGACCAAAAAATTCCAGTTTGGTGGAAAAACTTCAGCTGACTCATGTCTCTCTAATCTGGTGGGATCACACCCTCCTCAGGAGCACCACAGCAGCAAAGGAGAAAGAATTCCAGCTCCCTGTGCTTGGAGAAAGCTTTCATTTTTTACAAAACCTACAAAAATGAGCAGCTCCAAGGACAAAACCACATCAAAGCCTGGTGTTGCTGCTGCAGAAGTGCTGGCAACAGAAAGACATTTTTCTTTTCATAGTGGGCCATTCAGTCAGTTTTATCCAAGTCTAGATAAAGATGGACTCTTGTTTGTATGGAAAAAACAAATCCCTAAACCCTCATCAAATAGCAAAATGTCTCCTGTGGTCTTTCAGTCACTCTGTTTAATAACATTTTTTATTGTAGCACTTCCCTCCTCCTTCCCCAGTCACCATGGGCTGCTCAGAGCAAACCTGGCCAGGTTTAGGTGTGTGTGCCACTGCACTTGGCCACATGTGGGTTTAAATTTTCTAGGGGATGATGGCATTTCATTATGTTTGACGCCTTGTGAAGGCTGACCTAGAACAGAGAATAGACAGAGTTAAAGAATAATAAAGTAGGGATTTATTAAAAGGTCTCAATGGATCCACCTTGGGCAGCACAAGAGCCCAGCCAGGGCTGCACCCAAGATGAACCAAAATGGTCACAAAATGCACGAGCGCTCACGGGGTCTCTCACTGTGATCAGTTCTGCTCCATTTGCACATTGGAGTTCATTGTCCAATTCCAGCCCCAGCCCATGCAGTCCCATCCTTCTTGTTTTTCTCTCTTCATTCCACGTTGTTTGTGCTCTTGGGCCTGAGATTTGGATCATCTGTCCTTGGTCCCCAGCTAGAGCAGGAATTGTTTTGTCTCCCTGCTCTGTGCACAGAGCTCACCATGCCCTGATATGGACCCAGACCCACACACTAAAGCAGCACAGAACCTGAAAAATAGAAAAGCTAAACCTGAGACACCAAGTCCATCCCTTCAGCCACTCAAACAGTGCTTGGCAGCCGTGTGCTGCACGAAGTGGGCTGTGTTGTCCAAGCAGCCAGGGCCACAATGCCCTTTCAGTGACTAAGTTGATATTTCCAGGGGAAATTCCAAATATCACTACTACGGGATCCGCCTGAAGCCGGAGTCGCCGCTGAACCGCCTGCAGGAGGACACGCAGTACATGGCCATGAGGCAGCAGCCCATCCACCAGAAGCAAAGGTAGGTGCCCCCAGGCCCTGCCCAAAACACTCAGCAGGTCCCTGGGATTTGGCTCCACTTGGGAAGTTCAAACCAGGTGAAAAAACGGAGAGATTTGACGAATCAAATTAAAACAGATGATAGAGTGTAGTTAAACAGATTGTTTAAAATACTGAGTTTTACACCTTAGCTGAAAAAACTTTACAAAATAAGTTTATATACATTGATTGTTACATACATTGAAGTATACAAGGTACTGTCACTTGTTACAGTGACAATGTTGGAGGTAGTACCTTGGATACTTCACTGTACACAGCAGTGAATAAACAAAACCGTCAAAGAAGTTTTTTCTGTTCAAGAAAAATGTGGGAAATGGATTTGTAGGGAATTCTCAGAGTCTGACAGAAGGCTCACACAGTGTGCTGAAGAACCAGAGCCAAGCAGTGGAAGGGTCCAAAACCCATCCCTGGAAATACTCAAGTCCAAGCTGGATGAGACTTGGAGCACTCTTTTGGAGGAAGATGTCCCTGCTCACTGCAGGGGTTGGAGCAGATGGCTTTAAAGGACTTTTCTAACCCAAACTCTTCTGTAATTCCATGGAATGGGATTTATCTGCCTATTCCCCTTGCCAGTGGCATGTTCCACCCTGTGTGCTGCCTTTCACAGCTTCCCTGTAGCCAAAATGGTTTAGGATCTCAGTTATGCAGATGTTGGTGCCAAATCAATGTGAAGGACCTGGGGGATTGTGCTGTGTTTGGGTGGATTTTGGGGGTTTTGGGTGTTTTTCTGTGCAAAAGTGCAAGATAATAATTAAATACTTAGTCTTGTGCCTGAGTGATTTTAAAGATAAAACCCAGTGTGGAGAGGGATTTGGAAGCATGGGCAAGCATGGGCACTTCTGGTTGTTGCTGAAGTGCAGAAGGAGCAGAATGTATTTCTTCAGCTCCCAAACAGAAAGTAAATGCAGAAGTCAGTGCTTGAGCCAGAGTCTGCCCTGGAGCCCACTGCTGCTCTGCTTCTCTGTCTTGATTTTTTGGTGTCACCAAACTTCTTAGCCCCTTTAATTCTGTCTTGGGGAAGCTTTTCAAAAGGAGCTTCTCATTTCCCCTCCATCTGATTCCACAATATAAATGATCAGCCCTCACTCACCATGTTTGCCTTGAATGTACCAACCACTCCATGAACTCCCAGATGTGTGTTCTAAATAACATAGGGGTGTTTTCTCCTGTCTGTGTGGATCCTAATCCATCCTAATTCTGATGGACTTTAGGTACAGAGCAGCCCAGAAGATGGATGGGATGGCAGAGAGTGCCTCCAACAGCACCCCCCACACCACACCCGAGCAGTCAGTGGCTGCCCAGTGCCAGCACCACCAGCAGTTCATAGGTGAGGACACTCCTTTGGTGATCAATTGTTCCACATCAGGGATTTGGGCTTTAAGGGGAAGGTTTTATCCAGCAAGTCCTGACTCTTGGGCTTCCCTAAAAAATCTTAAACTAAAAAAAAAAAATACAAAACCAAAAAAAAAAAACAAAAAGCAAAAAACCAAAAAAACCCCACAACAAACAAAACCAAACATGTAGATTTTTATTATATATATAATATTAATCTTTATGTTTTATAAAAATTATGTCTATAGTAGTATATATCATATACATTATTAGATATAATTTTATATATTATATATTTTTAATGTATATGTATGTGTATGTATATATATTAAATTTTTTTCTTTTTTCAGATATCTATATTTTATATATATAGGATGTGTTCTATAGGTTTTTGTAGTGTCACACTTGCTAAGTTTATCTGCTGACTCCTGTCTCCCCAGAAGGGTTTTTTCCTCAAGCCCATGGGTCTGTTTTGTCCCTCAAAGTATTTTTTTAATCCATCTGGTGTCTTTAAATTCCATGGAAGAGTGGAGGTCCTGGGCAGGGGGGGAAGCAATTCCCTTCCTTGCAAAGGCTGCAGTGGGGATGTGGGTGCAGATGATCCATATTGACCTTCTCCTTGTGGAGCAGAGCCTCTGGCTTTGCTGCTCCTGGGTCTGTGTCTCCATCACCAATCCCAGCTCCTGACACCTCTGCTGCCCAATTCTATTCCCATTGTACTCCTTAAATACCAGAGAGACATTGCCAGGTTCAGGGAAATTCTGATGGATAGTAGGTGAGGATCATGTTTTCTTATTTCTTTTATTACAAACAGAAAGGAACCATTTTCCTTTCCCCACTGAACCCACTGGGCTGTGGTTGTTTGTTTTTTTCTCAGTATAACAAATCAGGGAAAGGAGTAAATTATCTCATTTTTCCTCTCTCATCCCAGCTGGAACGTGAAAGAGCCTCCAGTGACAGCAGCACCTTGTGCTCACCTGTACTCTGAGCTTTCCTAACCCTCACCATCTCTCACAATTTCTGTTCCCAGATGTAACCCACGTCTTTCCTGAGTTCCCAGCCCCTGATCTTGGTAATGTCCTCTTACAAGAAGGTTTCACCTTGAACGACGTGAAAACTCTGCAGGTTCTCTACAGGAGGCACTGTGAGGTGATTGTGTGCAATGTTCTTTGGGGATTATTTGTAATTGATTTATTTTAATATCACTCAAGTGACCAGCTCTTAGGAAAAGCTGGGAATATTTAATTTGCCAGGAATTACAACTCAAATATTGATTTTTTTTCCACTGTGTGACCTGTTTTATGTTAAGATGGTCACTACAACAGTGCCAATTCTGTTGTTTTTCATGTAAATGATTTACTGTGGGTGGCAGCCCTCCAGCTGAGTGCTCACCCCGTGGTGTTCTTTGCTGCCAGGCCACTTTGGATGTCGTGATGCACCTCCAGTTCCACTACATCGAGAAGCTGTGGCAATCCTTCTGGAGTCCCAAGGCAGCCCCCAGTGATGGCCCCACTGCTCTGCCCTCCAGGTACTCCCCTGCTTCCCTGCTCCACTTCTTGCAGATGATCTCTTCTTAAGATGCAGTTTTTTTTTTAGTTTTTGTGAGCCTAAAGCCTATCTTTCTTCAGTGCCAAGATTTTAGGTGGATGATCTTACAGGTACAAATCTGTGCCCTTCAAGTGAAACTTATTGTGGAGAGAAAATCCTGTCTGAGATGTTCAGTCATTCCCTTTTCTAGACAGAGCAAATAAAAAGAAAAGCAAGCTATAGGATTGTGTACTTGCTGTTACAAAACACCTGCTGGCATCTGAAAATAAACCAGCAGAAAATCAGCATAAATGAGTGCTTTGGAGAATTTGGGAGTATTTTCTGCCCTGCAGAGCTGTGACAAAAAGCATTGGAAGTGTTTAATATTGTAATGCAAAGTTCAGAGCTCTGGGGAAGGGTCTGCTCTGATTAGAGAATTGTGGAGTCACTGAGGTTGGAAAAGCCTCCAGGATCATCAGTCTTGAGGTGTTGGGGCTGGGTTGGACTCGATGATCTTTAAGGTCTCTTCCAACCTGGGAATTCTGGGAATTCTCTGAGTCCATCCATCAACCCAGCACTGCCCTGGTCACCACTCAGCCACGTCCCCAAGTGCCACATCCACACCTTTTTTGGACACTTCCAGGGATGGTGACTCCACCACAGCCTGTTCCAATGCCTGACCACTCTTTCAGTGAAGAAATTTTCCCTCATATCCAATCTAAACCTCCCCTGGGGTAACTTGGGGCTGATTTCTCTCATCCTGAGGCTGGACATCCATGTCCCTTGCACCTCCTGCTTTTCCCAGTGATGATTCCCTGCTCAGATTTTAGGGACTCTGAGGTTTTAAGGATATCCAGACTGACTCTCTGCCTTGCCTGGCTGCCCAGACCTGTCAGTGCCTCGTGTTTTGAGTCAGATCATTGCAAACAAAGCTGCTTTAATCTTTTCACTCCTGCCTGGCTCATTGCTGTGCCTCTTCCTCATCCTTTATGCATTGGGAGCTGCTGCCAGGGGAATGGAAATAAGTGAAAACAGAGAAAATTTAAAAAGTGAAGGTTTCTTCTTAAAATTTCTATCACAAATCTGTCCACTCTTACTGAGGCTATAACATGAAGGTTTTCTATTCAGAAGAAAAATGGTAAAACATTGAGTAATAAGGAAAAATCCCTCAAAAATCAGTAGAATATGGCCCTGTAGATGTTGCCCAGGGGATATTTTCCTGCAAGGAGTCACTGCAGCTGTGTTTTCTTGGTTTAAAATCTCATTTTTTTTGAGGGAACAGCTCCCAGGCAGATTGCAACACCCCAGGAGATGTTTCTAGATACAAAGGGGAAACTGGAGGCAGCTTTTGTGCAGGGCTCTCACACCTCTGCACTAACCCAGAGAGGTAAATAACACACTCCCTCCCCTTCTCAATATATCAGTATAAATACAAACCCCAAGCATGAGAAGATGCAGAACATGGATGCACTTCACAGCAGATTTCCTGACCTGTTTCTCCATGTGGGCTTTTCCAGGCATTATGCCCATGGAGTTCACCACTAAAATTCTGCAGGCTCAAAGTTCCCTTTAGAGCATGTCCAAGGCTTGGCTTTAATGATTTTGATGGGCAACAAGACCCTTTCCATGGGAAAAGACCCTTCCAAATTCCCAATTCCCAGCATAATGTGTGAGTGAGCAGCTCTGCTGTGATGCCCTGACACTGAATTCAGGTTTCAACTCTTCCTTATTGCTGTGTAACAAATATCTTGTGCATTTATACATCTACAAAGTGAAAATAAGGGAAGCTGGATTGACCTCAGTCAGTTACAGACAATATGTTCTGTTCTCATCCATTCAGTCTCCTTCCTTCTGAAAATATTCATCATTTGGAGGGGTTAAACACCTTGAAAACTTCTCAATATCAGTTCATCTGCCCCTAGAGTGGCTGCAAAGTTTTGTCCCCAGTGCTGTGGCTCAGGAGGATGAGAGCAGAGGAGAGAGGAGAGGGCTGGGAAGGTTTGGGAGCAGCTGGGGCTGTAAGGAGGAGCCAGCTGAGCCTTTGCTGGCTGAGATGGCTGTGCTGGAGCTCAGCTCCCACGGGAACAGGGGGTGTGAGAGGCTGTGAAGTTAAAAAGGGAAGAGGGGAAGGCAGGCCAAGCACCAGGAGTGTGGATTTGAGGGAAAATTGCTCCCAGCTCTGGCCCCAAGGACAGGGAGGTGCTGGCAGAGACAAGACCTGTACGAGCAGTCAAACATTTCCTTTTGCAAGGCACCCAAACATGGTTTTTTCTGCTGAAAATTTGAGTTAGAAATGCAGAGGGAGGGGGAAAGCACTGAATGCAAACCTGCTGCTAACTCTGTCTCCTTCCTCCTCGTCCTGCAGTGAAGAGGAAGCCGAAGGGACCCTCCCAAAGGACAAACTGATCACCCTGTGCAAGTACGAGCCCATCCTCAAGTGGATGAGGAGCTGTGACCACATCCTGTACCAGGCCCTGGTGGAGATCCTCATCCCTGACGTGCTCAGGCCCGTGCCCAGTGAGTACCCACAGCCCCCCTGAGTCTGATCTCACTCTGGCCACCACTTGCCACAAAGATTTCCACTGTACAAACCCACTTGGAGGTGTTTGTCTTGGCTAAAATGTCATGGCAACAGCAGTGTTCCTCCTGCAGCATTGCTCTGGGGGATATTTTGTACTCCCTGGGAATTCCCCTGCCTTTCAAATTTGGTGCGTTGCTTATCACATCTCCTGATCTTGGCCAGGAGTTTGGATATGGGAGCTTTTTGGGATGTGGCTCCTTGGAGGTCTTTGTTTGCACAGAACCATCCTGTCCCTGAGTGCACTCCTGGAAATTAGGGGTCAACTTTTTGGGAGATTAATAAAGGGCTGTTGAGAGTTTTCTCTCTGATTTAGATTCCCAAATGTCCCTCTGAGGGCTCTCACAAGCTGGGGCACGAGGGTGTCTCTGAAGAGCAAATTTCAATGCTTGAAAAATGCTCAGAAGGGCCATGAGTAAGAAAAAGACAAAAGAAAATAAGAAAAATAAAAAACATAGAAATGTTTAGGTTGGAAAAGACCTCTAAGTTCATTAAGTCCAATTGTCATAAGGATAAGAGTAAGACAAGAAAAAAAGTAAGTATAAGTTTAAGAATAAGAAAAGAATAAGAGTAAGAATGAGAATAGGAGTAAGGATAAGAATAAGAGTAAGGATAAGAATAAGGATTAAGGATAAGAATAAGAGTAAGAATAAGTAAGAATAAGATAAAAATAAGAGTGAGAATAAGAGTAAACACAAGAATAAGAATAAAAAAAATGGAAAAGAAGAAGAAAGAGAATAATAAGAAGAGTTTGAGTAATAACATCAAAGAATAATTTGGGTGTATCAACCCAGCTGATTTCCTTGATGCTGACTTGACATCTCAGCTAACCAGACCACAGGCTGGGCTTTCCCAGTAGTCCTAAGGTAGAAAATGGTAGCCAAAAATGCCACAGAGCAGCCTTTCTGACTTTGCAGCCTTCCTTGCAGGCACGCTGACCCAGGCAATCCGGAACTTTGCCAAGAGCTTGGAAGGGTGGCTGATGAATGCCATGAGTGAATTTCCTCCCCAGGTCGTGCAGACCAAGGTGAGCAGAGATGGGCCCATCTTGCAGAAGTCCCTGCTGGGGTTTGGCCACCTGGCACAGTGCAATTGTGAACCAAAATCAGCCAGGAGTGGGAGGACAGGTGGCAGATCCTTTGTACCAGGAGCTGATGGTGCTCTGTCCATGGAGCTTTTCATGTGTCTTGAAATTGCAGATAAAGCTTTGTGGGAGAAAATCATAAAGCCACAGAATATCCTGAGCTGGAAGGGATCATCACAAACCCCTGTCCCTGCACCCCAACAAGCCCACCCTGAGCACCCCTGGCAGTGCTGTCCAAACCCTCCTGGAGCTCTGGCATCCTTGGGGCCGGGACCATTCCCTGTTATCTCTGCCCTGGAATGAGGCTGTCCCCCTGGAAAGCACAGGAGTGAGTGGCATTGCCCCAAGGCTCCTGCTCTCCTAAAGCCAAGGATTCTTGCTGCCTCTTCCCACCATGCTGGTCTCTGCTGGAGGCAGAGTGTGAAAACCTGGTAGCTTAAAGAGAATAAATAATGGAATCATAGAATTATTCAGGTTTGGGTCCTTCCACTGCTGTTCTACCTGGTGGAGCATTGTGTGGCCCAGGCAACCAGGGAGATGTAATGGGAGAGGTCAGAATCCTTCATTCCCTACAACCCAACCCAAAGAGACACCATTGGTTCACAAACCACCCTGTGCCCTCAACATGTTTCACAACCACCTGAGCCCAAGGATTGACTGAGTTGTTCCAAGTGCCTGGCACAAGGATTAAGCTGGAAATAACCTTTAAGCTGATTTGAGTCCAACCACCACCCCAGCACTGCCCAGGCCACCCCTAAACCATATTCCCAAATGCCACCTCCACACGTTTTTTGAGCCCTTCCGTGGCTGGTGACTGCAGTGCTGCTGCGTGCAGGGCTGGGCAGGGAGCAGAGCACGCCCTGCAGCCCCTGTGCTGTGTTGCAGGTGGGGGTGGTGAGTGCCTTTGCCCAGACCCTGCGCAGGTACACGTCCCTGAACCACCTGGCGCAGGCGGCGCGCGCCGTGCTGCAGAACACGTCCCAGATCAACCAGATGCTCAGCGACCTCAACCGCGTGGACTTCGCCAACGTGCAGGTAACCCCCAGACCCCCTGCTCCTCACCTGCCCCACAGGTGGGCTCCACTGCCAGGCTCTCTGCTGCTAGCCACTGGTCAATCCCCAGGGCTGGAAGCCAGCTGGATGAGCGGGGGGTGCTCAGCCTGGGGAAAAGGAGACTCAGGGGTGACCTCATCACTCTCTGCAGTGATATTGGGGTCTCCTCAAGCCAGGTCTCATAAGCTTTTGGAGATCTATGTCACACCCAAGATAGCTCAACTACCTTAGAAGGCATAAAATCAGTAGGATGGCTTCTGTGGTAGCGTTGGAAACAGAAAAATTTGAATAAAAGGCAAAATAACAAGACTCTTTACAGAGAAAAACTGAGCCAGGTGGAAGAGGTTCTTGCTCCTGGCAAAACACCTCACAAAAGCAATTAGTTTCTTTGCTCTCTTCTGTTTCTAGTAAAAGGCAGGACTTTTTAGCTCCTGTCTAATTGGCTGTCTTTAAGTTTGAGGTGAAGTCCCACAAGTCCTATGAGGTGTCTTTTTCACTAATTGAGGAGAGAAACTTCTGGGCTTTTTTCCTTTTTAAGGAGACAAAGGATAGTTTTGTCATTCTGTCAACAGAGGGCACATTCCTACACTACAGCTCCTGAAAGGTGCCTGTGCTCAGCTGGGGTTGGGCTCTTTCTCCAGGCAGCACTGACAGAACCAGAGCACACAGCCTCAAGCTGTGCCAAGGGAAATTTAGGTTGGATATCAGGAAAAAAATATAGGTTGGATATTAGCAAAAAGTATTTTACAGAAAGAGTGATAAAGTTCTGGAATGGCTGCCTGGGGAGGTGCTGCAGTCACCATCCCTGGGGGTGTTTAACAAAGCCTGGATGTGGCACTGGGGGCCAGGGTTGAGTTGAGGTGTTGGGGCTGGGCTGGACTCGATGAGCTTGAAGGTCTCTCCCAACCCAGTGATTCTGGAATTCTGTGAATTCTGTGAACAAGGTGATGGGTTTGGTGTTGATTTCCCAGGTGAATTTTCCACCTCACCTGGAAAAGGAGCATCTGTAAGATTCACAGATCATTAAGGCTGGAAAAGACCTCCAAGATCATCCAGTCCAACCTTCAGCTGAACCCTGCCATGCCCACCAAATCGTGTCCCCACATCCACTCATTTTTTGAATACTTCCAGGGGTTTTGACTCCACCACTTCCCTGGGCACCCCATGCCAATGCTTCACCACTTTTCCAATGAAGAATAAAGTGCTTCCAACAATTATGGAGTTCTAAAAATACTGTGGTCCAGACAGATCAGAGGGGCCATGATTCAGAGCTGGTTTGCAGCCCTTGCCTGCTAGAAATTAATTCCTGGGTTGGGATACAGCACCATGCAGGCCTGGCATGAGTAACTGTGAGCCCTTCCTCCTGAGCAGGAGCAGGGCATGAGTAACTGTGAGCCCTTCCTCCTGAGCAGGAGCAGGCCTCGTGGGTGTGCCAGTGTGAGGAGGGAATGGTACAGAAGCTGGAGCAGGATTTCAAGCTGACTCTGCAGCAGCAGAGCTCTCTGGACCAGTGGGCCAGCTGGCTGGACAACGTGGTCACTCAAGTGCTGAAGCATCACGAGGGCAGCCCCAGCTTCCCCAAGGCAGCCAGGCAGTTCCTGTTGAAGTGGTCTTTCTACAGGTACATTTTCTTTCTCATTTTGGGGGTATTTCTGCATCAGCCTTGGGGCATGTGAAGAACTGCTTGAAAAGCCAAGGCCAAGTTCTTTACTCCCATGAAACTCTGCTTAACTGTGGTTCTGGTGTCCTTTCAGGATGGGGATAAGATGCTCCATAAACTAAATTTCTTAAAGCCAAGGCCAAGTTCTTTACTCCCATGAAACTCTGCTTAACTGTGGTTCTGGTGTCCTTTCAGGACAGGGATAGGATAATCCATAAACTAATTTCTTAAATTGTTTTGATACTTTTGGCTCAGAGACAGTGTTATATCCCACAGTACCACCAGGGTCCAGAGCTCACATCAGCCACGGCACAGGTGTAAAACTCAACCCAAATTTCTGATTGCTGCCCCTTCCCAGCTCCATGGTGATCCGGGACCTCACCCTGCGCAGCGCCGCCAGCTTTGGCTCCTTCCACCTGATCCGCCTGCTCTACGACGAGTACATGTTCTACCTGGTGGAGCACCGTGTGGCCCAGGCAACAGGGGAGACCCCAATTGCTGTCATGGGAGAGGTGAGAGCCCTTCATTCCCTACAAACCAACCCAAAAGAAGCAGCTCCTGAAAAGACACCGCTGGCTCACAAAGCGCACCGCGCCCTCGGCTTGTTTTACAACAATTATTTATTGAGTTGTTTTGGCACAAGGATAGAGCTCCTGGAGCATCTTCCCTGAGCTGGGGGGCTTGGGGTTTGGGGGTGGTTGAGCATCATTTGGGCTTTGGAGGCCTGGAGGAGGGAGGGAAAGGATCTCTCCCCTTCTCTGCACCACCTGTGACTGCCAGCCCTGACTTTGGGACTCCTGACAGGGCAAAGTCCATCAAAACCTAGCAAAAATGATCCAGAAGTTGCTTTCAGCAACTGAACTTCTCCAGGCCTCTGCAAGCTCCAGCATTACCTGCACAGTCAGCCACTCCCTCCATTTTTGAGGTGAAGAAGAGGATGATGGGGTTCTTTGGGCTGTTTGTGAGAGTTTGGTGGTTTTTTTGCTCACAGTAAGTCTGGTGCCTGCCTTGCAGGCAGGTCCTGTCCTGCCTAGCTGAAGCCACATCCAGTTTTTCCCTCTGAAATACAGAGTTAAAAGCCCCGGCTGAACCTGTGACAGCAATGCTGAAATTACAGTGAATTTAAAACTGAGCCCACGTGCTCAAAACTGATCCATTTGCTCCTTGAATCTTTCACAGAGCTCATGCAGGGAACCAGGCAAACCAAAGCCTGTTGGTTCTGCCTTCCCTCCCACTCCCACACTGCTCCAGCTGCAGTGCTGAGTTCCCACTATTCCCTGCAAAACCTCCACCTCCAGTGAGATGAAAGGAACAGGAAAGGCAGAGACTGGCTCCCAGCAAAGCCCAGCTGGGGGAGGCTCCCATCCCTCAGGCTTTTTCTTCATTAAACCCTTGCAGTATTCCTGGTCTCCAGGAGGAGGCTGATTCTTCCCAGCAAAGAAGGATGAAGTGTCCTCCCACTCTCCTATTGTCCTCAGCTCCTGCCCAGCTTTCCATGACTTTCCAGCATTGCTGTCACAGCAATTTGGTGTCTCAGACCTCCTCATTGAGAGGGACACCACAACTCCAGAGCCAAGGAGCTCCCTGGTTCCACTTGGCACCACGGCCTGGCTGCCCAAACTCTCTCAGACATCACTGCAGAGGCTTTGCAGAGAGGTGAAATGCCAGGAGAGGGGAAATGCCTGAGAGGTGGAAAGGGCTGAGAAAAGGCACCACTTTTACCTGTAGCAGCACTTGGTCATCACCTGGAAGATGGAAAAATTTCCTTTCTTTCATTGTCCCTTCATTCCAGAGCTAAATCCTGCCCTGGATTGTTGTGTGTGTCGTTTGCCCAGAGGTTGAAATGGCAACAAAAGGCTTTTCCCCCAAAAGCTGTGGCTGCTTTTGATTTCTGCTCTCCACCACCAGCACCGATGCTCAGTCTCTCTTGGGTGCTTGAAATTGTCTGGCACCTCAGCTCCCCAAAGCCTCACTGACCCCATAACTCCTTTTTCTTTCAGTTTGGTGACCTCACATCCCTGTCCCCGACGCTGCTGGACAAAGGTACCTCCCCTCCCTGCCGGGGAGCTCTGCTGCTCGGGGTGGGATGGCCGTGGGAGGGGGGATGCTCCTGCTGCCTCCTGCAGCTGCTGTGCTGGCAGGCAGCTCCGGGTGCCCTGCCCTGAGCCGTGTCCTTTGCAGATGACATCAGCGAGCTGGGCACGGAGGGGGACCCGGGGGAGCCGCTGGTCAAACGGGAGCGCAGCGAGCCCGGCCACTCCCTGCAGGACATCTGAGACCCGGCTTGGACCTGGCCACTCCCTGCAGGACATCTGAGACCCGGCTTGGACCTGGCCACTCCCTGCAGGACATCTGAGACCCGGCTTGGACCTGGCCACTCCCTGCAGGACATCTGACATCTGACCCGGGGCTGGACCGAGCCATCCATCCGGAGCCAGGCAGGGCGTGCCAAGCCCGGGCCCACCCCCGGATCTGCGTTATTATAGTGCCTCTTAGTTTCTCTTTCTGTTTACTTGTGTTTGAGGATGGGCTGAGCCGGTTTGGCTGCCAGTGTCCCTCCAGAGGGGAGGGAGAAGCTCCAGAGTCTGCTCCCAAGGGATGGGAGGCTCTGTGGTCAGCAGCAGGTGGGATGTGCCTGGCTGGAGGAGCTGTCCTGGCTCTCCAGCTGAAGCACAAACGAGGCTTTCTCTGTCAGGGAAGGTGCTCTGGGTTCCTTCCCCATGTCTGGACTTCACTGTGATACAAACTTGAACCAATCAGTGCCCAAGAAGAAGGAAAAATAACCCAGCCCTTCTCCTGCAGCCTTTCCAGACAGCTGTCCTGGCTCTGGCTTTGCCAATCTCTTGCACCGGGGGCACAGGGCAGCTGGTGTCCCTTGTCCCACCTGGGGAGAGACTCCAGGCTTCACATCCCGACACAGGACACATCCCAGGACACAGGCGTGCTCTGGGACTATGGGATGAGCATTCCCACCTGCTTCCATGGCTCTCCAGCCTGGCACTTCACCCCAACGCTCCTGGGATGCCATCAGCCAACTCAAGATACCAAAGGACTCCGAGGCAGTGGCAGCTGGAGGCAGAGCGTGTCCATTGTCCCACGTGCCACCATTGCCTGGGGGCAATCCCGTGGTGATCCCGTGGCAATCCTATGGTGATCCCATGGCAATCCCATAGCAATCCTATGGTGATCCCGTGGCAATCCCATGGCAATCCTGTGGTGATCCCATGGCAATCCTGTGGCAATCCCGTGATGATCCCATGGCAATGCTGTGGTGACCCCATGGTGATCCCATGGCAATCCCACAGCAATGCCCATCCTCCACGGTGCCCAGGCAGACAGGAACTGTTCCCACATCCTGGGGTTTGTGAAATTCCCACCCCATGTCCTGCTCTGAGGTTGAAGGAGGGTCTGGAGCAGGGGCGAGGGGGAGTGACCACAGTGCCTTAGGGTGGGCCTTGTTCCCATTCCCTGCTCCAGGTGGCCCAGCTCAGCTCAGACTGGCCCAGCATGGCTCAGACTGGCCCAGCATGGCTCAGACTGGCCCAGCTCAGCTCAGACTGGCCCAGCTCAGCTCAGACTGGCCCAGCACGGCTCAGACTGGCCCAGCAGCCCATCCCAGGTAGGGAGGAGCTGGCACAGACCCCCAGCACTCCACTGGCATTTCCCTCTCTGGGTCCCTTTGCCTTTTCCTGCAGCGTGGCTCCCGTGGGGCTGAGCTGGGGCAGCTCTGCAGGGTTGATCCCCTTCCCGTGTCCTGTGGGGTCTGTGCTGCCATGGATTGCCCTGGGGTGCTGTGGGCTACAGGGCAGAGGAGGGGGGGATCTGTCATCAAGCTAAACTGCAAAACAAAGCCCTGGGGCAAATCTCTCTGTGAATAAAGGCCGTGTCATAAATAGCTTTTATTATTATGGTTTCTGATGATGCAGTGTTTGCTGTGAGCTTTTCCAGGTGTGCATTTGCCTAGCAGAGTATCTTCTACACAAATCTCTGATTTTCTCATTCCCAGTGGCACTAAGGCAGCTGTGGCACTTTCAAACAGCTCCTAATGGCAAGTGAAATCAGAGTGTGTGCAGTGGCACATCCTCCCTCTGCCCCACTGTTGTGCCAGGGTGGTGTTTGTCTGTAAATGTCTCACATGGAAGTGGCAGGAGAGAAGTGAGAGAGGCAGATTTAAATGTACATAGCCATGAAAACTCCCTGGGTCAGAGTCCACACTTGGGATCCTGCTGATGAGATAAGAGAGTCTAAAAAAACAACTGAGCAACCAAATCTTTACTGCCCTGCTCCCACTGAGGGCCACAGGAAGTTCAGCTCTTCCTCTGAGGGAAGGCAGCGTGCAAAGGAGATGCTCTGGAGCTCTGCAGCAGCGTTGGGGAGGCTGCAGCAGCACCCAAACCCCCTCCACACAACTCCCAGCTAAAGCTGAACAGCAATAAATGTGTATCCAATGCTCAGGCCTGCACAAGGAGTGTCGTGGTCCCATTTCTTCTGTGGTCCCTGGGAGGTGCCAGGAGATGCTGCAGCAGCCTGGGGGGATGCAGGAGCTGCCCAGGGTGATTAAAGCAGTTCAGGGCAGGGGTCTGCAGAAAGGCAGATTCCCCCTGAGCAGCAGCTGGTGTGTCAGATAACCCAGAGGGGAGCAGAGCTGAGGGATCAGACTGAGCACAGGGCCGCAGGAGGATTTTCTAATTAAGCTTCCAGACTAATTGAGAGGATGAGGGCAGTGGGGATGGGAGGGATGTGACAAGGGCTGGGTCATTCCTGCTCTGACCCCTCGGGAAGGTTCAGCCTCTGTGCCTTTGCTTCACTCTCCCTCTGGATTAAGCCCAGTCTGGCTGCACCAGACAGAGCCTGTTCCTTTGGGAATCTCAGCTCTGGAAGCAGGAGATTATTTCCCCCAGGGGAGCTGGGCAGCACCTTGTGACCCTGAGAAAATCTGCCTCTAACCACAAAGCAAACACAGCTCAAAATCCTCCTGTTAGCACCTACACCCCATCCTCAGCCTGCCTCTGGCTCCATCATCTCCCAGACGGGCAAATCCTGCACAGATTCAGCCCAAGCATCCCAGGATTTTGTCTTCCACCTCTTCCCAAGCAGCAGAGAGCACCAGGAGGTGGCAGGAGAAGGGGAGGTGCCACCAAGCCTGGGGAAATCAGGGGGGTAGAACATTCCAGAAGCAGATAATAGTGCCAGTCCCTGTGGCTCATCCCAGAAAGGCAACCCTGGAGCTGGGCAGGGTGGCACAGCCCAGGGAGTGCCCAAGGGGCAGGGGACACTGCAGTGCCACCAGCCTGGGAGGAGCTGCTGGTCTGGGGACAGCCAGGACATCTTGGAGTGTCTGGCACAAGGATCTTCTCTGAGCTGGGGGGTTTGGGGTGGTTGGGCATCATTTGGGCTTTGGAGGCCTGGAGGAGGGAGGGAAAGGATCTCTCCCCTTCTCTGCACCACCTGTGACTGCCAGCCCTGACTTTGGGACTCCTGACAGGGCAAAGTCCATCAAAACCAAGAAATAATGGTCCAGAAGTTGCTTTCAGCAACTGAACTTCTCCAGGCCCCTGCAAGCTCCAGCATTACCTGCACAGCTGGGCAGGGTGGCACAGCCCGAGGGGCAGGGGACACTGCAGTGCCACCAGGCTGGAGGGTGCTGCTGCTCTGGGACAGCCAGGACATCCTGGAGAGCTCCAACCTGTGCGTGGCTGCTGGGACACGAGGGTGGGATGAGCCCTGGACTCATCTCCTGTTTGTCCCCTTTGTGTCCCTTGGCTGGGATGGCTTCAGGTTCATGTTCTGGCACTCCTGGATTGTCCCCACGGTGTCACATAACAGGCCCCCGTGTCTAGGAAGCCTCTGGGACAGGGACTTGAGACGGGAAATGAGAAGTTCTCAAAGTAAACCAACACAAAATACGGATTTGAAAGCAGGAACCAGAGCCACCTTCTGTTGTTTCCTTGCAACTTCTCCCATCATTCGCTCTGCAACAGCACCTTCCCTTGAGCCAGTGCAGCCTCGGCCTGTCCGTGTGGCCCCAAGGCACAGGAACATCAGCCAGACCTGCCTGGACCGGCAGGAGAGGCTCAGGAGGGCTCCCAGCATCAGCAGTCCCAGTTTCCACCCAGCCCTGGCATTGCCCCCAGCCCAGTGTCACCCCCTACCTGCCCCAGCCCCCCTCACCAGCACGGGCTCAGGCCATGGGGATGTTTCATTCCAGACCCTTCCCCTGCTGTGCCCCAGCCCTGCCCTGCCCTGGGCTCCATCCCTGCTCCTCCCTGGGCTGGGGGATGTGTCTGCAGGGAGAAGGGCCCTTCCCTGCTGCCCTGGCAGCACTGAGAGCCCCAGGGATTGGCTGAGAGCCCAAAGGATTTGAGAGCCCAAAGGATTCCCTGGACAGAGGCTTCCCTTCCCCGTGTGGCTGTCACTGTCCCTGCTCAAGGCAGGGAAACTGAGGCACAGACACAGAGACCTCATGGCTGCAATTCACTGCCCCCCTGGCTACCAGAGGGGACAGGTTCTGCTGGCCCTGGCCTGCCTGGTCCCTGGCCTGGCTCTGTGGATGAGGCAGGAGGAGCCTGGCTAATCCAGGGCTCAGCTGGGGCAGTTTAACCACAAACAGGTTTCACCTGGAGCAGGCAGTGTGGGGGCAGGTCCACAGCCACCCCTGCAGCTCCTTCAGGGTGTGTTTATAAACCCACACCCCCCTCACCCCAGGGGCTTTCTCTCTCTCTCTCTTTTCTTTTTTTTTTCTTTTTTTTCTTCCTTCTTCCCACCCTTCTTTTTTATATTTCTTCCCCACCCCATTAGGCTGAGTTGTTTATCTTGTGAAGGAACTGAGAGAGAGGTCAAGACAGCACCATTGCATATCGTTTGGACAGAACATAAATGAAATATTACAGAGTTTCTGGGGAGCAAGAACCCTGGAGAGCTGACTCAGACTAATGAGAGTACAGAGATCTCCATGACCGATTTGGCCTCTCTTTTGTGGGAGATTCAGGCTGAACACCTTTTTGGGATTCCTGACAGGGCAAAGTGTTCTGGGAGCTGAGGGGCATTTGAGAGTTGCTAATTTGGGGTGTTTGGGATGCTCTGCTAGAGCTTAGATCTTTCTTCCAGTGCTACCAAGCAGGTAAGGACACAACCATCACCTCCCCCAGTGCCCCTGCCCTGGGCTGGCTCTGGGGGCTGGGGTGTCCCAGCACTGTCCTCCTCCTGTGTCACATCCCAGGTGAAGGGACAATGTCCTCACGTGGCTCTGGACTGCCCCTGGGGCTCGATGCCCAGCCCAGCTGCAGCACCCCGGTGCCTGTACCAAGGAATTCCCTCCTGGCACGGCCTCTCCCTGCCCCGTGGAGCTGCTCCCTCGCCCTGCTCGGCCAGGAGGACACCGTGGAGAGCTGCAGAGGGTACGTGGGAGGTGCTGAGCCCTGGCCTTGCGTGTTTGTCCTCAAGGGACATGTCCCTTGTGTGGGACGTGTTGGATCCAGCCTGGGAGGCTCTGGAGGCACGGGCTGGAGTTATCCCCTGTACAAAGGGCAAGGCTGGGGCTGTTCCCCCTGCCCAGGGCAAGGCTGGGGCTGTTCCCCCTGCCCAGGGCAAGGCTGGTGGGCATGGGCTGGAGTTATTCCCCATAGCATACCCTGGGCAGGGCTGGTGGGCATGGGCTGCAGTCATTCCCCGTGCCCAGGGCAAGGCTGGTGGCTGCCTGTGGTGTCTCTGCTAGGTGTCCTAGGCAGCAGCTGACCCCTGTGTCCCCACTGCCGTGCCAGGAGCTCCTGTGAGCTGGGGGTGGCCCTGCTGGAGCCCTCCTGCCCGGGCCCCGACCCGCAGCTGGTGCGCAGGATCGTGGCCCAGGTGGAGTTCTACCTGTCCGATGAGAACCTGGCCAAGGACGCCTTCCTGCTCAAACACGTGCAGAAGAACAAGATGGGCTTTGTCAGCATCAAGCTGCTGACATCCTTCAAGAAGGTGGGTCCTGGGGGTGCAGGCTGCCTCCTGTGGGGTGTGGGGAGCTCTGGGCTGTGTCCTGCTGCTGCAGAGCTGGGCTCTGCTCAGTGCCCTGCAGCAGCTCTGTGTCCAGGGGAGCAGGGAAAGCTCCTCAAATCACCTCCAGGGCTGGGTTCACCTCTTCTACCCATGGACTGCTTTGGAAGTGATCATCCCTTAATCAAAAAACCCAGGGAAGTGCTGGTGGCGTGGCTTAGGGGGAAGTTGTGGCTCCTTGCCAGAGCCTGGGGGACACTGGGGCTGTCTGCAGATCCCAGAGCTGCTCGGGCAGAAGGGGGACATTGCCCTGGGGGTGTTGGATGGGGTCACAGCCTGCCTGGAGGGGGGGTTTAGCGTGGTCCCTGCCTCTGTGGGGGATGCAGAGCGATGGGGATTCCACCCTCTGTGCCCAGGTGAAATACCTGACCCGGGACTGGCGCCTCACCCTCTACGCCCTCAAGTTCTCGTCGCTGCTGGAGGTGAACAAGGAGGGCACCAAAGTGCGGCGGCGCCTCCCCATCCCCGAGTACCTGCTGAGCGTCCCCCCCAGCAAGCTGCTGCTGGCCTGGGAGCTGCAGCCGCGGGAGCAGGACCTGCCCCTGCAGAAAAACTTCCTGGACACCATCACGAGGATGTTCAGCCCCTTCGGCGCCATCGCCTCCATCCGCCTGCTGCGGCCGGGCCGCAAGCTGCCCTCGGACGTGCGCAGGTACTCGGCGCGCTTCCCCGAGCTGCTGAGCCGCTGCTGTGCCCTGGTGGAGTACGAGAGCCTGGAGAGCGCCCGCGGCGCCGCCGAGAGCCTGGGGCACCGCGACTGGCACGGCATCAGGGTGGTGCGGCTGTGCGGCAAGGGCGGCAGGAAGAAAGCCGGGGAGGAGCGGGCGGCTTGGAAAGCGCCACCCGCATCTCTGACCTTCCCCCGCAGCCTGGAGGATTCCCTCCTCGAGCCCGACGATGCCTCAGGGTCGCTGTCCCCTCTCCTGAGCCGGGAGCTGCTGGCACCCACCTGGCCTGGCGGCGACTTCGCGCCGGGAAATTCCAGCGGGTTCCCCGGCTCGCTGCTCCCTCCGCTCGGGGCGGGCACCGAGAGCCGCCCGGGCGGGTCCTGGACACCCTGGGGCAGCGGTCTCTATCCCAAAGCTCCCTCCAGCCATGGGCAGGGGGTGTCCGAGCCCCTCAGCCTGTGGGACGGGGTCCTGCCCCACCGCCCCGAGGGCTCCGGCAGCAGCTTCGGGAGAGGAGAGCTCGTCCTGCGGCGCTGAGACTCCTTCAGATTCAGGGCTAGGGTTTGTGATTGTCTTTCTTTTCCCTTCTTCTTTCGAGAGGAAGACTTTGCTATGGTCCCGCGAGCTGTGGGCAGTGGCAGTGCAGCTGATCCAGGGGACAGAAGTTTTGGGGCAAGGGCGATGCTCGAGGCAGATGCTGAGCAGCAGCAGGAGCTGTGCTGTGCTCATGCCAGTGAGACTGTGCTTGCTCAGGGCCCTGGGCTTGGGGTCCAGGTTTTGGGTGAGAAATGGACAATAAAGAGAGATTAAGTTTCCAGGCACTTTCTGGATCATGCTGTGATTTTTTTTTTCTTTTTTATTGTTTTTTTCCTCTAATCTTTCCAGGCCTTGGTGCTGCCTGAGGTGCAGCCAGACAAGGGAAGGAGGGTCCCTGCCTGCTGCTTCCTCCCTTGCCGTCCTTGGGGTGGTGGGGACACTGAGGGCTGCCCAGGCTGGCTGAGCCTGAGAGAGACAAGAGTGATGGCAGGGCCATGGTTCTTCCTGGCTGTTGGCTGCTCAAGGCTCTCTGCCATCTCTCAGGATGGAATGTGGGGGCTTCCTGTGTCCCTCCTGCTCCCACAGCCTCCCCAGCTCCTCTGGGAAAGGGTTAAGGGAGGCTACAAGTGGCTCTCAGGGGTGTGCCAGTGCAAGTGCCCTTGGGCTGTGCCCAGAGCTGGGATGTGGTGGGAGAGTCCCACACCTGCAGGGGTCACACCTTGTGTGAGGAGAGCTTTGGGGGCAGTCCCTGCAGTCAGGAGCCTCTGGCTGAGGATGAGGGGGGTGGAAAACAAAGCAGGTGTGGGTTCTGGTGCCCATCACCCAGCCAGGACCCTGGCACTGAGTTGTTCTACGGGTAGTGAGGAGAATTCTCTGGACTGGGAATTCCTTGTCTTTGTGGTGAATTTCATGCCCCAGACCCCAGCTGGGAATGGCCTCTTGCTGGGGTAAGCAGGTCTGGGAAATTCCTGAGAGAATAGTTTGTCACAAGTGCTCAGGGAGCCACCAGGGAAGATGCCATCCTAAACCTGCTGGTTGGGGATGGAGAGAAACTGGTGGGAACTGGGATGGTCTTGGCCCCAGTGCTCCTGAAATGGTTGAGTTTAATGCTGTCAGTGTGAGGAGAAAGATGGACACAGGAGCTGCTTCCCAAAACTTGGAGAGAGGAAATGTTCTGCTGCTCCAGGAGCTGCTCAGCAGAGTTCCTGGGAATCTTCAAGGGGCTTCTTTGTGACCCTCTGGAGCAGGTAATTCCCAGGTCTGGAGGGCAGCCCCAGTGCCCAGTCCCTCTCCCCTTCCTGTGGCAGGGCAAACCCATCTCCTCCCTGCTCCCCCCACCACACCACTCCAGATCCTGCTGATTTTCCATAAAAATATCCTTTTTATTGGCCTCTCTCTCGGTGCTCCCACACCGTCCCTCAGCGCCTGCAGCCAGACGGGATCTTCTGGGCCTTGGAGCCCCCACAGATTTCAGGCTTCTCCCCCTGCCAGAGAGAGCCATGAGAGCCCCAGCAGGGATGGGGATGTGTCCCCAAGCCCTGCTGTCCCCACAGAGCCTTGTCCCACCTGGTAGAGGTGACAAACCAGCCCCAGCAGCGAGGCCTCTGCCTGTGCCTGCAGCTCGTCCGTGTGCTTCTGCGGGGGGACACGGGGCCGGTCAGGGGGGTCCCCAGGGTGTCCCAGCCCTACCTGGCACCCGCTGCCCCCTGCCATACCCCATTGATGGTGATCCAGGGCACGTACTGGTGCGGGGGCTCCAGTGCCTCGGTCAGCTGGGCGTTGTGGTGCATCAGGGCCACCCCTGTGTCCCCCTGCACGCAGGCGCTGATGCGGCCACTGTCCACCTCTGGGGCATAGATCTGCAGGCACTGCCGGGCACAGGGGACATGGGGCTGGTCAGGGGGACGGGGACAGCCTCCATGTGGGGCATGAGGGGTGGGGAGGGGGACATACAGCCTCTAGGTTCTTGGTGACAGAGCTGCCCGACTCCAGGCAGAAGATGACAGGGAAGTAGGTGCTGAAGTTCTTGGCCTCGTGCATCAGACAGGCCTACGGGGACAGGGCGAGCGGTGAGGGGCTGCTGGAACCCCCCGTGCCAGCCCCGTGGGAACGGGGACCGTCACCTCCATCATGTTGCCCAAGCATTCCTCGGGGCCGTGCTGGCACTGGAAGTCCCACTTGCCGCTGACGTTCCTCTCCTGCGGGACCAAGCGGTCTGAGCGGGGCCGGCGGCACCGGGGCGAGCACCGGGAGGGGCGGCTCCTACCTGGGCGTTGCCGTAGGGCACCAGGGTGATGCTCAGCATCTCTTCGGGCAGCAGCAGCCAGGTGGGGAAGAGCTTGAGGACCAGGAATTCGCGGCACGCCGGGCACAGGCTCTCGTAGTACAGGCTCAGCTCCACGGGCGCGGCCGCGGGGTGAGGGAGGCTGGGGCAGCGGCTCTCCACCTGCACATGGAGGGTTTTGGGCTGCACGGGGGGGTACGGCTGCAGCCCCCCTATGCTGGTATGTGTAGGGATGGGGCAAAGCTCCGGGATGGGGGAAGAAGGGGGATGAGGGTGCGCAGGGCTAGAGGGAAGTGAGAGTGGTCAGGAGATTTCTGCTGCCGCGCGATCCTGTGCGTGGCTGGCACCCAGCGCTGGGGCTTTCCACCAGCACTTCCCCAAAACATTTCAGGGGAAAACAAATTTAGACCAGGATGTGCCTGGGTGGGGGTACAGCCCAGCACCCAGTGCCCGGGGGAAGCTGCAGCCCCGTGGGGCTCACAGGGTGCTGCCACTGCCCGGCTCTGTTTGGGGCAGAATAAGCCAAAAAGCGGTTTTACACTTAAAAAGCAGAAGTGCCAGCGGTGGCTGGGGAGGGGCAGGGTCCGGCTGGACCACAGCCGTTCCCAGGGATGCTGGGGAATGCCGTAGTGCCCGTGTGGCACCGGCGGCTCTGAGCATCCCTGCAGATACGACCCTGTGCCTCGGCGACGCTCGCAGCTGGCACTCGCTCCAGGCATCGCTGCCAGGCGCTGCCCCAGCCCTGTCCCCGCGTCCCTGGGCAGGCGGGAGGTGGCCCAGCGTGCCGGGTGACCCTGCCCTTGTCCCCAGCCCCGGCAGCAGCGGCGGCTCTGACCTGGCAGGCGACGGCGGTGTCCCGAGAGCTGCACCAGCGGTGGGCAGGGTAATCACAGCCGGGGGCCACGCCGAGCCCCGGGGCCACCAGGGCCACCAGCGCCAGGACAGCCAGCGGCACCGCGGGGGCCATGAGGACGCCGGGGTGACGCGGAAACGAGCCCGTCCCAGTCGGGACTTTTAAAGCTCGGCTGTGCCCGCCTCCCCGCGCCCTCGCTGCCCTTCCTGCCGCTCCGGCCGCCGCCTCCCGTGACGCCGCCGGCCCACGTGGGGCTGCCGGGCTCCGGGGCTGCATTCCCCGCGGGCTGTGACAGCTCCGGCAGTGAAAGCCAGCCCGGAGCAGCCAGGCGTGGAGCTGCCCGAGCAGGGAGCGGGGCTGCTGCCGGCACGGCCCGCGGTGGGTGCGGGACGGGGGTGCAGCCCAGCACATCCCGAGCTCAGTGGCGGGGCCGAGTGCGGAGGGAGCTCGTCGTTCCCCCGGTTGTTGCCGCTGTTTCTGGCCGTTTCTCAGCCCTCGTCCCCTCGTGCCCCGGCCCTGCAAACCCGCGGAGCACAATCCCGGCGCGATGGGTCACATCCTGCACCCAGCCCAGGAACTGCGGCACAGCCCCAGCACTGTCCTGCCCCCGCACAACCTCCCACAGCAATCCAGGAGCCTGGTTCATTAACTCTGTTTATTTCTTTCCTCTTTTTTTTTTTTTTTGGTTGTTTTTGTGGGTTTTTTCGAAGTACCGTACAAAAAAAAAAATCCTCTTACAGTAACAAATACTGGGTTTACATTAGTAAACATCAACAGAAAGAGCAGAGAGCACTACTGCTGGTAACGGACAGCTCGGGGGGCAGGTTATTCTTTATTGCATATACCTAGAAACTAAAACCTCACGCAGCCACCACGTCCTCTCCGAGCACAAAGCCTCCACTGGCACCTTGGGGGTTACACGGGGGAGCCTGGAGCCCCCCCAGAGCAGGGACATAGAGGGACAAGCCCCAAACTGTGCCCCGGGGAGCAGGAACAGCCATGTGGCACCCACGGGACGCGGGTGTGTGGCTCGGCTGGGGGACGTGGGCGTCACAAGCAGCAAAGCACAGCCTCAAAACACGGCCGGGTTCAGAACGAGCCAAAGCAGCAAAGGACAAATCACAACGAGCTTATGCTGGGGGAGCTCCGGGGTGGAAGCCCAGCCCGGGGAGAGCAGGGGAAAGCTGCTGTTGAAGGAGCTGAGTGAAGCACCGTCAGGGAAAGGCAGCCCTGGAGAAGGGCATCTTCCTCCTCGTCGTACACAGGACGTGAGCAGTGCCCTGTCAAGGACAGGCCGCCAGCGGGCAGGGAGGGCAGTGCTGCAGGAGGGGTGACTGTGACCCCCCTTGGGCTGTGGCTGGACAGCAGGAAGGGACAGCACGGGGAGAACAACAGAAATTCAGCCAAAAGGAGAAAAACACAGGATAAATTGGAGCTGGAATTTCCCTGGGCAGCAAAGCCAGGTGAGCACCAAGCGAGTATTGACAGGTGACAGCTTCAAGCTGAGACTCTTCCAGATGCTCAGCAGGTCCTGGCATGAGCAGGGAGCAATCCCCCTAGGCAGGACTGGCCCAAGCTCACGTTTAGGGGTGGTGGTGGAAGAACGTGGAACCCATGGGATGAGGGGCTGAGGATCCCATCTGCCTGCAGCCTGTCCTGTGGTCTGGGGATGTGCTGGAAGTACAGGGAAAGCACAGGACCAGCAGAGTCTCCAGGCTGAAAAGGTGTGGAACACTATCAAAGCTTTGGAGTGTTGGTGCAGACCCCTGGTCACTTCACAGGTCCCAGGAGGCCTCTGGATAGAGCTCTGAGGACTGAGCCTCCCTGCTCCAGTCCCACGTGCCCTCTTCTCTCACGTGCCCGAGTCCAAATTATTCCCTTACTCATCCCTGGCAGCTTTTCCCAAGTGATCCCCGAAGCCAACCACAGCCTCTGCTGGGCCGTGCCCCCACAGCCCCCCTGACCCACTGCCCGCACCTGAGCACCAAACACTGACAAACCAGACCCAAAACCAGGGCCCAGGGCCTGCAGAGAACATGCAGAGCAGGGAATGGGGCTGTACAGCTGAGCATAGGAGAGCTGCCACAAGCAACAGGAATGGGATGTTTGCTCCAGCAGCCCCAGCTCCAGAAGGATCTGGGGACAAGCTCAGAGCAAGGTAAGCAGCAGAGCTGGCCAGGGAGGGAGGGACAGTGCAGTCCCCAACGCAGGTGGCACATCAAGGACAGGATGCAGGCACAGCATGAGCACAGAGCACCCCATGGATCCAGCAGAACCCAAGCTGCAACGGGAAACAAAAATGCCAAAGTCCACAGCATCCACTCGCCTGTCCCAAGGAGGAGCCTCCGAGAGGGAACGAGCCACTCTGGCAAATCAAGAGGAGCCAGGCAGCTGAGATAACCCAGGAAAGCAAATGCCACCATGGCTTCAACTCTCAGCTCAGCTTTTAAAGCTCTTCCAGGCCCATCTGGGCTGCCCTGGGGCTCTGTGAGCTCAGACACAGCACCCTGCCTGCAGCAGCCAGCTGTTGTGGGCAGCCCTGCCCCAGCCCCATACAGTACCCACGATTTAAGTGCTTTGCATACGTAGTTCACCATCATGCAGATACATTTCAGCATGCCCTGGGCCCCACAGATGTGTCCTCCTGCAGCAGAGAGGTCCTTCATTCCAGGCAGGGCTTGTAGTGTGCGTTGGACTCCAGCCCTCTCCTGCTTCAGCTGCAGGGCCCGGGGCTGTGGCAGCCTGGCAGCTGCTGCCCACGCTGGGGGTGGCACTGGGGGCTCAGCAAACACCAGCACCAGGGGAGCAGCTGGTCACAAAAAGAACCATATTTACAGAGCTACAGTCAGCTTCAATGGGTTACGTGTGCAGAGAGTCACCGAAACCGGCCGGAAACAACGAGCTGTGCATCCCACAGATCCTGCCAGGAAAACACGGGTACCAACACGGATTTCACAGCTTCGTTGGCACAACTAAGGCAGGAGATTCACGGCTAAGCAGATCCTCCCTGCCCAGGCAGCAACACTCCAGAGGTGGTTATGACAAGAGGGAATGGTGGCCAGGTGGGGCACAGCACAGAGCGAAGATCTCAGCCAGGGAGCCTCACTGAGGATGAGGTTTCTCCTTCCTAAATGTCTCTGCATGCAAGAGCAGCACCCCTCGTACCAGACACCATCACAGCCTGCGAGGCCACCGAGGGAAGCCAGAGTGAAGGATGCACACGCTCAGTGGAGCCTCCTCCTCCTCTGCCTCCTCTGGTGTCCAGGCAGGGAACCCCTCGGTCAGCACCGAGGAATCAAGAACCAAAGCTCTACAGTGATGCGTAGTGGGGCGACCTGCCAGCAAGAAGGGGATCTGACCTGCTTATTAGGGAAGGGGAGGGGGCTGTGCTCACCCCCAGCAATTCAATCACATCTGGATCCCACCTCCTAGAGGCTGGAGCCCACTGCAAATCTACAGCCCAGCCTTTCTGTCCCATCAGCCAACACGGGTTTCAGCTACTGACCAAGAGGGACATCAGAAACGGTCACAGACATCTCAGAGGCTCTGAAGGAGCAGGAGCACAGAGACTCAACTATACAGGGTGCAAGAGTCCAGAGCCAGAAAGCAGCGCCCTGGGGAGAAGCTGAAGGCAGCTGTTGTGTTGTGCATGGGCTGCTCATCTGGCTGGTGGCTGGGAAAGGACCGGGTGAGCCAGAGTGACATTCAGGGAGTCATTGTGCTGCACCAGGGACGTGTGCTTGTAGTGCAAGACCAGGTCCTTGAGGGAGGCGTAGAGGTTGTAGGGTTCAGCAAACCCATAGCCCGTCGCCGTCTTGTAGATCACGCAGTGCTTGGTGTCACCATCCACCCTGCCAGGGAGACACAGGAGTCTGGGTCAGCAGTGGGACAGGGGAGCACAAGCAGGGCCACCAAAGCACCATAAAGGTACACCTGGCCCTGGCAGGAGAAGCCAAGGCAGATGGGAACTGTCGCCTTCAGCATCTGGCAAGGAGAGGGTGGAGCAATGCGGGAACACAACCTGGGCCAGCCCCATCCCATCCCATCCCATCCCATCCCATCCCATCCCATCCCACCCCACCCCACCAGGACAGGGACACTCACACCACGGAGCAGGCGTAGCAGCCCTTCTGGCTGCTCTCACGGATCAGGAAGGTGCCGTCCCGTTTCCCACACAGCATCTCCTCTGCCTGCACACGGTTGATCTTCCCCACGTACCACGTCCGCTCCTCGTGGTGGGGCAGCTCCTCCTCGTCATCCATCATGGAGTACTGGCTGCAGTTGAGCACAGGCAGGGTCAGATTCCCTATATTTGGGTGTGTGGCCCCCACATCCCCCCACACCGCTAGCTGCCATCGCCCATCTGGCAGGGAAGATATCCTCAGGTTCCAGGCAGGGAGCTGGGATTTGCCCACAGCACGGGCAGAACCAGCTGCACAGCCTGTGCTCCCACATCCCCCAAATCCAACAGCACACGAGCAGGACACTCACTCCTCCGTCTCGTTCTTGATGCCCAGCCACTCGTTGATCTTCTTCTGCCGGGCACCCTTCTGCGTCAGCCACCTGGGGGAGGAGGGCAGAGCTGAGCGCGGCTGCAGCGAGCCCCGGGCGCGGCCATCACCAGAGGGCAGCAGCCGCCGCTGCCGGGGACCGCCGAGCCCCGAGGCCGCGCTGCGGGAGCGGCTCCTGCCCACAGCGGGCTGCGAGCCGGTCCAACGAGCCCCGGAGCCCCGGGGGAGGCAGCCGGCTGGCTCCCGGGCCGCGCTGCAGGGGCACTACGTACACCAAGTACTGGTCCCGCAGCTTGCGCAGCTGCATCAGGTCTGGCTTGAGGCTGTTCATGCGCTTGTCGATCTCCCGGTTCTCCGAGGCTTGTTTCTTCAGGTCCTGCTCCAGCTTCATCTTGCTGTCGTGGATCTCTGTGATGCGGGACTTGAGCTTCTCCGAGTTCATGAGGATCCTGGGAGAGAGAGGGGGGTTTAGGCTGTGAGCCAGAGCGGGGGAGGCGGAGGAGGCAGCCTGCCAGCTCCAGCCCACAGCATGCTGCTGGAGAGACAAGGAGTCCACGTGCCTCGGCTCTGTGCTGAGCCAGGAGGATCCTTGCAGCCCCTGGGGCCCTTCTCCAGGCAGGGCAGGCCACCACCACCCCCATCCTCACCGTTGCACCTCCTTCTCGTTGCCCTCCCTCCGGAAGCGCTCGATGTACTCCTTGCTGCACTTCTCCTGTGTCTGACACTGCTCCTCAAAGATCTTGATCGTCTCATTGAAGGCCTCGATTGCTGTCCTCTTCATTTGCAGCTCCTGGGGACAAGGAAGGGAAAAGCTGAGGAACATTTCTTCATATTTGCAACTCCTCTTTCAACTTCCCCAAAGCAGTTCTCTCCTTGCTGCAGGCAAAATATCCCCCTCTTCAAAGCCCGTCCTCTGGGGAGTCCCTGTCCATGAGCTGATAAATGAGGCAACAGGTGCCCCATCTCTGGTCTCCCCTGTGTACAGCAGGGTGGCTGCCAGCACTCAGGGGGTGACAGAGCAGCCCTTGGGGGTCTCAGGCAGCCCGTGGGGAAGGCAGTGCCCACATACCTGGGACGTACGTGTGTACTCCTCATACAGCAGGTCGTACTCCCAGCTCTTGTCCTGGTACTGCTGGTGATAAACCTTCAGCTGCTCCCCCACAGCTTCCACGCTGTCCTCCTTCACCACCTGGTCCTGCCATAGGCACAGCCTCAGTCAGGACCTGCTCCAGCTGGTCCCACAAAACCCCGCAACAAAACATTCCAGCACACAGGGAGAGGGATGGGACATTGTCATCTACCAAAGGAGCAGAGATGGATGAACAAATGCCCCTGGTTCAGGCTGTGCTTGCCAGCCATGTTCCTGCAGCACAGGCCTCACCTGCTGGTACTTGGAGATGGGGTAGAGCAGCCTGGTGTCCAGCTTGGCGTTGTACTGGGCGAGCGACTCGTGCCGGTAGTGGGTGATGAGCTCCACCACCGAGCCAAAAGTCAGGGGCTCCGAGAAGCCGTACTTGCCTTCCCGATGGAAGATCTTGATCAGCTTGTTATTGCCTCCCTTCCTGCAGTGGAGGGGAGAGGAAAGGGCACTTAGCACCACCCCAGCACCCGACATCAGCCAGAGACCTTGGCATCCCTGGAAGCACAGGGACATGTCCCAGGAGCTGCAGCCCTGAGGCTCCCAGGGGATCCCAAAGCCCTACCTGAGTGTGAGTGTGTATTCCCCCTGGATCTTGCTGGAGGCATCACGCACCAAGAAGGTCCCATCTGGTGTGTCCCGGAGCTTCTCATTCACCTCCTCCCTGCAAGGAACAGGATTGTCACGGCCTGGGAGGTGGCCCCAAGGCTCACCTGATGGACAGAGCACCCCCAGTGTGAGCTGCCAGTCACCCCCTTACCGAGAGATGTCCCCCCAGTACCACTCGGCGTCCTGCAAGGGCGCGTTGTTCCCGTTGGCCAGGCTGGCTGCGCTGGGCTTCGGCTTCGGCGGTTTAGGAGGCAGGGCTGTGAGAGGAGGAGGGATGAAACAGGGTGAGCCCAAATCCCAGCTCCCCACTGGCAATCCCTCGGAGTGCTGAGTCCCCCTCCCTGCAGTGACTGGCCTGGGAAGGCCCCTTGGCCACCACGTTTCCTGGAGCTGTTCCTGGCACATCTCCAGCAGCTGAACACCTTGAGCCAGCCTCCAGGCTGTCAAAACACCCTCAGCAACCCAATCACGGGGGCAGAGTCCACACCCACAAATGCCAGTGCCTCAGGCCTCAAGGAAGGGGCATCTCATTACCTGGAGGCAATTGTTCTGGTTCCAGCTCCTTCGTCTGCAGAAGTGTCTCCAGAAACAGCACAGAGAAGTCAGGGCTCAGCTCTGGGCTGCAGGGAGAAAAGAGACAAGTTAAGAACAGCAGTTGTGGCGTACCGCATGGGGGTCCAAAGTGGGGCACTACTCCCATGTCCTCTGGGGTCAGCTGGTTCACCCCAGCTGCCAGATCCCAGGCTGACAGGGCAGCAAGGGCTCTGTCCCGGCTCTGAGTCCCACCTCTGTGTGCTGCCAGCAGTTTAATCCCACGTGCAGCCCAGCAGGGGCTGGACTCCTTGTCCTGGCAGGCACAGTGACCGGAGCTGGGAACGCTGCTGGGACCAAAAGCCTGACGTACCTGGCGCCAGGCAGCCGGAGGAGAAGGGGGCCGAAGATCTCTCCCAGGGCCCGAGGGTGGAGGCTGTTGCTCTCGGCCTGCTGCGATACCTTCCCCAGATGCCGGAGCAGGAACTGCAGGGTGAGCGTGTTCTGGAGCGGGACCGCAGGCGACTCCAGGGCCAGCAGCAGCTGCTTCCGGCAATTCTCTGGCTGGGGGATCTCTGGGGAGAGAACAAGACACAAGGGAAGAGCTGGGACAGCCGGCACCACTCTCCACTCACCGGCTGCGTCACAGCACAGGAGCATTGTCAGCAGTGGGGGCCATGTGCCAGGCCCCATAGGGACAGGGCTTATTTTAATATTCCAGACGTGTCTACCCCACCCAACCACCCATCCCCAAGGCAGCCAGGGAGGCCCTTACCCTGCAGGATGCGAAGGATATCTCCATGCACTGACACTGGCACCACGGGGGAGGGCAGGTCCTGCAGGTAACCTCGCAGTGCCTCGCCCAGGGAGTGCACGTCCAGGGGCTCCAGGTCACCCAGGGTCCAATCTGTCAGGGCACAGATTTCCCACGGGAGGGTAAACACAGCACTGGGCACCCAGCTGGCAGCTCTGGTGCTGCCAACGCCCTTCCCATAAACCATCCCACAGCAGCCAGCTATCATGAGAGCTCACTAACACCACGAGGGAGCTCAGGCAGCCTTCAGGCAACTCATGTGACAGAGGATGTGCACCCCAGAAATAAGCTGGCTCTGGGAACCCCAGCAGTTCCCCTTGGGAGAGGGCAGAGGTCATTCTGGGTACCCACAACCTTTGCCCTGAGCCCCAGCACAAGAATTCTGGGCAGGCATAACTTGGGTGAGAGTTTTGCTCTCCGCTGCAGGAGTCAAGCACAGACTGAGCAGCCACACACTGAACCCAACGGAGCAAACACCTCCCTCGAACACAGGATTTTGGGAAGCACATAAAGCCTGTCCCAAGAGCACAGCCTGACAGCACTGTGTGGTTGGGGTTTGCAGGAACGTCTGCGGGAGGGGACTCGCCAGCGTGGTGCCGGATGAGGCCCCAGCGCAGCCAAGGCAGACGGCTCCCAGGGCTCCCCGGCAGAGACATCAGCTCCAGCCACCAAGCCGAGCTCAAAGATCCTCCCCTGCTTATTAGTGGCATGACAAAGCCAGAGAAGCCTCCACCAGCCCATCAGCAGAGCACCCCAAAGACAGCAGGGGACAAGCACAGGGGTTCAGCTCTTTGCCTGCGAGTCTCTGAGCCAGCACCACATCCCTTTGTTGCCCCCCACGGACGGTGCCAGGGATCCCCCCTGTCCCATCCCTTCCACAAAGGACAAGGACGTGTTGGGATGGGGACAGCCCAGCCCCAGAGGCAGCGTGCTGGGAGTCAGGAACTGCCGGGGACAGGCGAGCCTGGCCTGGATTGCATTACTGCTGGCGCTGTCACATCCACTAATCTCCTCCATCTGAGCCGATTCGCCTCCACCGCGCCGAGCTGGTTCTTACCGGTTCTCAGCGCCTGCCTCAGTTCGGAGCCAGATGTCCTGTACAACATCTCACTGTCCAACCCTGTGGAAGGGGGGACATTGCTGTCAGCTCCAGCACAGGCACTGTTTCAGTGCCAGCTGGGCGATGGTTGTGGCACGGCCAGGCCTGGATGCTGTCCAAACCAACCCCCTGCTGCAGCCCCCTTGGCCCCCAGAACACCCGGTTCAGTGGCCCCATTTCTCCACCATGGCACAGATCCAGGCTGGAATCATTCCCAAACCCCAGCACCCACCCAGTGTGTGTAGGTGCTCAACCCAAACACCCTCATGGGCCTCAGCAGCTCAACCCAGGGAGGAACATGAGAGCAGCTGTGTCCTGTGTGTCCCACAGAGCTCAGGTCCCATTGTAGGGTTTTGGGGAGTATCAGCATCCCCAGTGCTCAGCATTACCCCCCTTACCTTTCTTCTCAATAGCTTCCACCAGCTTCACCAGGAGCGGCGGAGCAATCTCGGGAGGGCTGAACTGCTCCTGCAAGTCTGGGAGAGGAGACCCTGGGGGAGAGGGAGGGAGAGAAGGGCTCAGCACCAGCTCAGCCCTCAGCAGCAGAGCTGGGCCAGGGCACAACCCAGGAAACTCCCAACAGGAGCAAGGAAAGCTGTGGCCTCCGCTGTGAGGCTGTGGCCCAGGCAAACACACCATGCAGTCTGCAAGGAACCTGCCCAGGAGCCAGCCCAGCACTTGTTGAGCTCCAGCCCTGACTGGGTGTGCACAGGGAGATATCTACTGCTCTGTACAGAGGCCTGGAGACAGAGCCCATCCCCCTGGGGACCCATACCCCCCGGGCAGGCAGCACAGGGGTTACCAGGGCTCCTGGAGCTTAGGGCTGGGTCCCTGCCCAGCACAGGGGCTGCGTAGGGCTGGCAGCGGAGCGGGGCCAGAGAGCTCACTCTGCTCCTCGTGGTGAGCTGTGATTAATCCAGCGATTCAGACAGAATGCCATGTCAGCAAATTCCTGCCCTTGATTGCTCGTTTAACATGGAAACCAGCCCTGTGCCTCCCCCTGCCCGTGAGCCCGCAGCCTCTGTGCATGCTGCTACAGGGCACAGACAGCCCGTGGCACGGGACCAGGGTCCCCCCCATTCCTGGGGGATCTGCAGCCCCGTATCCCGTGGTATTTCACTGCCACTTCCAGAAAATCTCGAGGTTCTGGCTGCAGGCACCCCCTCCCCTGTGCATGCCAGGGCAGGAGCACGCAGGTCTGGCTGAAGAGCTGCCAGCAGGAGCTTTGGGGGAGGATGAGCGGTGCCAGGCTCCATCCTGCTTCCAAAGGAGCACCAGCCGGAGCAGGAGGTTCCTCCAGGCTGGTCCACAGCACCTGGCAGACCCTGGGGAGCCCACAGTGGGTGAGGACACCCAGCACACTCCACTCTGCAGAGGCAGAGCCAAGAGGCTGCTCGCCGTTGCGAAACAGCTCCGTTGTCATGGATCTGACCCGAACTCGCCTGGTGTGGTCTCACCACAAGGCGCAGCAAGCTGGAACTGCGCACCCAGCTCAGCCTCCTGCACCCACGGCCTCGAGGGGAGACAGAACAGCCATGGGAAGGGAAGCACAAGGGTCAGGCACCCAGCAGCTCTGCAAAGGTCTGTGCTGCTGGGAGTGGGGACAATCCCCCACTGGAGCGAGCTGCTGGGCACAGCAAGGGGCCCAGCGTGGTGTGGGGAAGATGCAGGCAAGCTTCCAGGCTGGCAGCTCCCTGCCTGACCCTTGGGAAGGACTGAAGGGAGAGTAAATACTGGCGCTGCCCACGTGGCCCGGCCGGGAATGTGCTGCTTCAGCAGGCAGCAGCTTGTCTTTTTTTGTCAGGCACAGAGCGGGAGCCAGCAGCAACTCCTGAGCCTGCCGGGCCTCCGGGCTGGGCTGCCGCGAACAAGGCTGCTCACAGCACGGCCCGGGCAGCTGCGGAAATATTCCCGAGCCGCATTTTCCGCTCGTGTTCTCTGCGGAAGGCAAACACCAGCAGCTCGTAAATCCACTGGCAGAACGCGCCGGGTCTCGCTGCTCCGCGGGGCCGGCCCCGCTCCCGGGACAGCTGTGGCGCTGGCCCTGCTCCACCAGTGACACTGAGGGGCTAAGGGGTCCCTGCCAGCCAGGGCAGGACCTGGGAAGCAGGCAAGGAGTTTTGTGGGATTGCCAGGAGACGGTTCTGCACCTCCTAAAGTGCACACCATGAAGAAATAAGACAGGCTTGGCTCAAATACGGTTTTTCCATTGCAAAAATGTGTCTCCCCAGCAGAATACAGAAATAAAGAATCACAGAATATCCTGAGCTGGAAGGGAACCACAAGGATCTTCAAGTCCAGCTCTTAAGTGAATGGCCCATACAGGATCAAACCTGCAGGCTGAGTGTAAAATGGCTCTGGGTGTTTGAACTGCCTCCCTGCAGGACCTGCCTATGGCCAGAGTGGAAGTTGGCTCTGGAGATGCCCCCACAGGGCACAGGGACAGGGCTGGCACTGGTCTCATGTGCCCTGGTACCCCACCCTCCATCCCTGGGCAGGATGCAGACTTTTGGTTTCCTTCCCAAATTTGTCTGTGCTATGTTTCAGGAGCTTTGGCATGTATCTTGTTCCACCTCCCAGAGACCCCACCAGTGCCTTTGACCACCAAGACACACCTCCACCTAGCCCCCTTGAGAAGAGGGGAGAGCCGAGGAGCGCAGAAATCCAGCCCCTGAGGGAGCACCATGCAGGGAAGGCCAGCACATTCAGCACAGAGCACATCCCAGGCTCCTGAGAGGAGCAGCTTTCTTGGAAAGGCAGGTTGCAAGTGGGATGACTCAGGTCAGGCTCTCCTGCCAACCCAAACGCGCAGGGCCCGGCCGCATTCCCACCCCGCGGAGATGTTTCCTGGGGCCGCCCCTCCGGCTCCTGCGAGGGAGGCAGCTGCAGGGAGCTGCACCAGCCCCACAACCCCGGTTTCGTAAGACCCCAGAGGTGTTTTCACACAGCCAGAAGCATCTGCTGGGGTAGCCGTGGCTCCCAGGCAGAGAGGGATGGGGAGGACGCAGCACTGCCAGCTGGGAGCGTTCCCTGGCACTCCCCAGCTCCTGCTGCTGACCCCACTCCTCCCATGTACACCAGCACGAGATCTTCTGTAAGGCATGGGAAGGCCAAGTATGGCTGTCACCCCCCAGAGGATCACAGAATGGTTTGGATTGGAAGGATCTTAAAAGATCACACAGTTAAAACCCCCCTGCCTTGTGCAGGGACACCCTCCACTAGATCAGGTTGCTCCAAGCCCCATCCAGCTTGACCTGGAACACTTCCAGGGATGGGGGAGCCACAGCTGCTCTAGGAAACCTGTGCCAGGGCCTCACCACCCTCACAGTCAGGAATTTCTTCATAACATCTAATCTAAATCTCTCCCTCTTTTAATTTAAAACTTCCCCCTTGTCCTATCACTATCTGTCTGTGTAAGAAGCCTCTCTCCCTCTTTTATATAAGCTTCCTTTAAGTACTGGAAGGCCACAATAAGGTCTCCCAGAGCCTTCTCTTCTCCAGGTCTTAAAAGATCACACAGTTAAAACCCCCCTGCCTTGTGCAGGGACACCCTCCACTAGATCAGGTTGCTCCAAGCCCCATCCAGCTTGACCTGGAACACTTCCAGGGATGGGGGAGCCACAGCTGCTCTAGGAAACCTGTGCCAGGGCCTCACCACCCTCACAGTCAGGAATTTCTTCATAACATCTAATCTAAATCTCTCCCTCTTTTAATTTAAAACTTCCCCCTTGTCCTATCACTATCTGTCTGTGTAAGAAGCCTCTCTCCCTCTTTTATATAAGCTTCCTTTAAGTACTGGAAGGCCACAATAAGGTCTCCCAGAGCCTTCTCTTCTCCAGGTGAACACCCTCAGCTCTTCCAGCCTGGCTCCAGAGCAGAGGGGCTCCAGCCCTAGGAGCATTTCTGTGGCCTTCCCTGGACTCCCTCCAACAGGCCCACATCGTTCTTGCCTTGTCCAAACTCAGCACTGCAGGTGGGGGTCTCACAAAAGAGTAGAAGGGGGAAACCTGGGGGCTGCTGAGCCCTGGCTACAGGGTTTATGTGCCTGGGAGCCAAATAAACAGGCAAAGAGCAGGCAGCTGCCACAGCTCCACAGGCAGGGCTGAGGCACGTTGGCTCTCCCAGACGGGGTCTGTGCCAAGGCCAGGGGCTGGGAGGCAGCTGCAGGTGCAGGACAGCCCATGCCCAGCCCCAGGGTGGCTGCCTGGCCCCAGCGAGGGCTCTGCGACCCGCGGGGTGGGCTGGCTGCCAGGCAGACAAGCAATTAGCTCCAGTTCTCAGAAGCACTCTTTTAGACCCTGACTTTTCTCCTCTTGCCCAGAGACAAGTAATTGTGTCTCTCAGCAGGGCTGAGCAGTTCTTGGCAGGGAGCACTGCCCCAGGCGCTGCAGGGGCGGGGAGGTGGTGGTTGGGAGAGGTCAGGACTTATCCTGAAGGGAGGGAGCCTGGCAAAAATCAGTGGAGCAGGGAGAGGGACCATGGGGATCCTGGCTGGTTGCAGAACAGAGGGGGAGAAGATCTTGGAGATGTAAGAGTGGGACAAAGCTTGCCCCAGGAAGCTCTGCTGAGCAGACTGACAAGCTGGAGGAACAAAGTGCTTTCCTCTGGGCCAGGACTGAGAGACGCCGGCTTTTGGTTGCGACTCAACTGTACTGCTGCTGGTGGGACAACCCACTGCTGCCGAGCTGAGGGTTTCACCACTGTCTTGTGAAGCCAGTCACACTCTCTCATCTATCACACACGAGACTGGAGGTGTCCCAGAGGAACAGAGCACACAGCAGGGCTTACCTTGCTCCAGAGCCTCGGGCAGCCGGCAGCCGCTGGCGCCCGGTGTGGCAGGCAGGGGTCTCTGCACCCGGGGCCGGTGTGAGGGGACAGCGATTTTCACCGGCCCCACGTACTCCACGTAGGTGCCAGGAAAATCCCCCTTCTGCTTGGTGCGCTCGTTGACGCCCAGGATCCACCCGATCTGATTGGGGGTCTGCTCATCTCCATCTTTGAAGCCCAAGGCTTGCAGGGCCCCCTTGCTCACGACCAGGATGTCCCCGGGCAGCAGGTCAATGTCCTCCTCGCGCTCCTTGCGGTAGGGGTAGAGCGCGCGGTACTGGAAGCCGTCGGTGCTGCCCATCCTCTCTGCTGGGGGAGAAGGGCTCTGAAGGGTGAGGCAGCACGTTCCAGGTGGGAGAGGAGGGCCCTCAGAGGCAGCTCTCCCCCATCAGCACTCTGAACTGTCTCTGTGTGAACCGGCACCCCAGGAGCCTGGTTTGGGTGCCCAGGAGCGCTTAAGTGCAGCCCCTTTTCCTCAGCTTGAAACCACGATTCAACCAAATTATGGAGCAAAGGGAGAAAGAGACAAACATAATCCAGCACTGGTGAGAGGGCATGCAGCAAAGAAACCCGAGATCAGGGTCTGTTTCACCAAAAAAGCCAGTCTCTTGGAGTCTGGGGAGGAAAAGCACAATAGGCTTCCAGCCTGGAACAGCGTGGCACGCTATGTTCCCTTTTCCAGTGCCTGCAAAGAGAAGAAGAATTGTCACTGCACAGCCAGGCACCCCACACCCTCCCAACATGCCAACATTCAAACCAGGGGTTCACCTGAGAGAGGCAGGACTCGTTTCTCTCCTACCTAGCAGCTGATGCTGAGCCCTGGATCCACGCAGGGCATGCTAATCCCGATTTACACTCCCAAAAGCAAGTGAGGAGCCAGTGGCTGCGGGCAGGAACGCTACCTCCTCTCTGCTACAGCCAAGCACCAGCTCTGCATCTTAAAGAGGTTCACTCCTGTTTCTTCAGCTTACCCTCCTCACAGCACTTATGCAAACAAGGAGACAACAAGTGGGACAAAACAGCCTTTATGCAGGATAACTTTTGCATACGGAAAAGGGTGACCCTGCACCCACCAGCTGCAGGCCCTGAATAGAAGCAGAACAAACAGATTTAACCTTCCCTTGTTAAATCGATTATATTTCACAGTTCACCTTTACATCTTGCCATGCAATCCCCCAAAAAGGCATCTTCTGAAGGGAGCTGCCCACAAATGTAGGTTAACCACGCTTTCAGCAAAAGGCTTTCGAGATGTGCTGCCATTCCCACAGAACAGCACTTCAAAGCTTTGCTCTGAGCAAAAAGTCAATTTTTGAACTTTTCAAAAGCAGCAGCAGCATCAAGTGCAGGCACAGGTTCTTTTCGCAGAGATGGAGGCAAAAGGAGTTAAAATAATCTTTAGAAGCCTTCAAGTCTACTTAGAGCTCCTAACTGCCTTTCAGCTATTCAGAGAGAAATTGAATATGCTGCCTGCCCTGCCCAGAAATCCACCAAAAAGAATAAACCTGGGTTATAACATGTTGTTGAAGAGATGTACGAGCCGGGACATTCCCACCAGCCAGGCACGTCCTCTTTTCCCATCCCCTCCTGGCTGCACAGGCCAGTTTTCCACTTCCCTCAGGCAAATCCCAGAGTTCTGGTTCCCGCAGAAATGGCGTGCGGCCGAGGACCGGACCTACAAGGCACTGGGGCAGCCAGAACCCAGCCTTCCCAGGGACACCCTGGGCCTGCTCAAATGCTGCAGGTCCTGTTAAAGGCTTGACCTGTTTTGGCCCAGAAACCACCAAACCCAGCTCAAACTCTTGAGTCTCATCTGAAAACTATTAACCAGCAGGAAGGTGCTTCTCAGGGTTGTGGGAGCCTGGGCAGAGGGAGGCAAGGAGGCAAAGGGAGCCAGGACAACCTTCCCAGAGGGGTCAGCGAACAACCAAGCATGGCACGAAGCCAGGGCTGCTCTGACTGCTGGTTGGACTCTGTGACAGGCACCAACGGTGGTGATCTGCAGATTTCAAAATAACCCTTCCGGGCCAGCAACACTTTACAGTTCCTATCAGCTACAAATCCCTCTTTCGTCCTGCACGTGGTATATCAGCCCTGCACGTGTCACCACATCTGCACGTGCTGCCACAAAGTCTGGGATCGGGGTGAGTCCCCCGAGAGGAGCCAGCCCCACCTCTCAGCCAGGCTCTCCAGCCCGGCACCAGGGCTCCTTCCCTTGACAAGGACAAAAGGCACAAAGAGGCCATGGCACAGGAAACCTGTGAAGCAGCCAGAGCCCGCACCGCCTGCCTGAGTTCGGGCAGGCGTCCCAGCCGGGCTGTCTTTGCCATGAATGAACAGGCACTGCCCGCGGGGAGGTGAGGCACTTGCGGCCAGAGGCGGGTGGGGAACAGGATTGAGCCTGATCCAACTTGCTGGAGAGCTTCTCCAGAGCTCCAGGAGCAACACCAGACTGCTGAATTCATGGAGAGACCCTACAGAGGTTTCTGATGTTCACAGGGGAAGCAGCACAGCCCAGCATGGCCGCTGTGAAAGGTCCCACCATGCTGGGATAGTGGCTGCAAGGAACTTGCAGCAGAGCCTGCATTTCCCCAATCCAACCGGCCCTAGCCAGGAAAATATTACTTCATAATCCAGAGCATAAAGAGAGATTTATGACCAGGCTCACTGGCTGCCCCTCTGAGTGCTGCCTGTCAGGGTCCCCCAGAGCGGAGTCGCCGTGCCGGGGGCACTGTCTGAATGCCAAGGGCCTGAGTGGCTGCTGCCTGCTGGGCACGGCGCTGGCAGCTCCCTCTCCTCCCGGGGAGGACAGACCCCAGAGTGGCTCCTCCCGGGGAGGACAGACCCCAGAGTGCACCCAAAGGCAGCAGAGCCCAACCCCAGCAGGGTCGATGCTCCCCCACAGGCACCCCCAGCTTCCACCCGCGGATCCCAGCCCCGACTCCAGGCGTCTCCAACAAGCCGGTGCAGCTGAAGAGGCTGGAAGGACAAAACGCTCAGGCCTGGCAAACTTGTTCAGTAGCTTTTAAAAGCAGATCTGCGTGGAGGGGTGGGAAGAGGAGAGTGACTCTGGAGCACCAAGTGTCTCCAAAGAGCAGGTCCCGCAGCTTCTTCCAACCAACTCCTTCCACAGCCTTCTTCCCTGGGGTGGGAACGCAGGCACAGCTTTGCGCCACCGTGCTCCCCACGTCCCAGAGGGTCACTGGGCACACAAAAAAATCCAGAGAACTCAGAGCCAGGCTGTTTCTGGAGAAGTCTCACCTGCTTTCCCTACACTCAGCCCAGGTGGGCACCGAGTGCTCATGAACATGAGTGAAGAGCCCCCCAGGAGACCCGAATCCTCATGGCTAATGCCAGCACCGTCCTCTCCAGGGGCAACAGCTGTCCTCTGTCCTGCCACGGACCCAGCCAGAGGCTTCTCTGGCTGAGCTGCAGGAAGGCTCTGCACCCTCGGAGAGCAGCTGGCAGAGTCTCTGGGGATTGGGAGCACACACTTCCCAAAGCCCAGGAACAGCTCTTTGGAGGGAAGGCAGCTCCGAGAGGCCGGGACATGCATGAGCCTGTCGGCTGGAAGCACACCTCCGAGCAGGAGAGGAGAGGCAGCACCTTGCCAAAATCCTTCTGCTGGGCCCAGCTCCAGCTTTGCTCAGCTCTCAGAGAGGAACCTCGTGTGTCTGTGCTGGCGAGCACTCGCTTAGGCTGCTCTGAAAATCCCATGCATCAGACAGCTAAATACCTTTGGTAAATCTATCTCAGTGCCCAGAAACAATCCCTCGATTCATTAACTGCTGTCAATACTTTCTTTGTTTAATACATCGGTTTGAAACAAAAAACACATTACAAGTCTTTTTGTCTGTGCCCAGCACATAAATAAAAGCATCTTAACATTTTAAATGTGGTTCCTGTGCTTTTTAACCCAGTTCCAAATGCAGTTCAAAGTGCAGCTTAACTTGAAGCAAGACTGAGTTATTTTCCTTCCAGAGAGAGGAAAGAATGCATAAAAATATTTAAAAGAAGAATATGCTCACAACAGTATACGCAGCTTCAACCTCTCCAAGTTACATCAGATCCTCAGTGAGCAAAATAAACACCATATCGAGTTTGAACTGCAAGTTACAGACAAAAAGAACAAACTTTTCCTTTAATAAAAGGAGAAAATAGAACAATGCAATGATGGATGGGAATAAAAATGGACAGGGAATTGCCTTCCATGGTGACATCTGCTGCTGCATCACGTCCTTCTGACCCATGCAGCCAGGGCAGCTCTGATGGCCTCAGCTCCTGAAGCTGGCAACGGCAAGCACAGCATGGGTCATCCTGTGCCCACCAGCACCCACAACACCGAGCGGCACAGAGGGCAAGAGCTCAGCAGCTCCTGATTTATAGTCAGGACAAACAGCACAGCAAATCCCTGTGCTCCCAGGCAGCTTCCCGGGCCCGCTGCCTCCCCAGCAGGAACAATGACTGGAGAAACGTCTCGCGAGGCTGGAGCCACGAGCCAGGCTGTGGAAGAGGCAGCAGTGCCACGAGGAGCTGTGGGGGAAGGAGCTGGGAGAGCCTGCAGGGAGCTGGGGCGGGCGGGAAGCGGAGCTGGACACGCTCCAGCAGCTGCCCCTGGGGAAGCGGCCAGCGGAGCAGGGAGAGCTGCAGCCCGGGCTGGCCACGGCGCTGCCAAGCCAGCTGGTATTTCCTTCCAAACAGGGGAAAGCTGCAGGGGAGGAGGGGAGTTATGCCTGAACCGTGCCCCAGCCAGGCATGGGACAGCCGAGGCCGTTTTCACCTCTTCTTTTCCCCAGAAATGCTTCCCAGCCAGCCAGCAGCAGCTCCCCAGGAGCAGCAGCTCCTGCCCACAGCCACAAGCCGCCCTTTGCCAGGGACACAGAGCATCTCCTGCTCACGCCTGAGTTTCATTAAATATTTTGCTTTATTCACCAAAGCCTGAGGAAGTGAAGGAATATCTGAAATATTTCACTGAAAAGGTCAATGTCATGATTAGCAGGGACACGAGGAGCTGAATAAAACAGCATGACCAACACCTTCCTCACTTTCGGGAGACCACTGGAGGTCCCAGAGACCTCCTGCTCAAAGGCTGGACAGCATGAGAGCACCTCAGACAGTCTGCACACCTACTCCAAGACTTCTCACACTGTCCAGAGGCTTCTTCCTTGCTCCAGCTGAAGCTTGTTCTTTCTTAACCACCTCACAAGCTTTCTCCTCCTGCTTACAAGACGTTTTTACGTGGCCAGAGACTTTTATTTGCTGGCAGTAGGCAGAGAAGGACCCAGCACCCAACATCAGCCCCATCATCTCACTCCAGGCTGCTCTTACACCATCCCCCACGCAGCAAGAACACACTAATTCCATTTTAGGAGCATTCATGGAGCTGGCTTTAGGGATATAGAAACCCAGGAGCTGTATTTTGGCAAAAAAATTACAGTTCTAAAAAAAACCTGAGTACATGAAAAAAAAAAAATCCAACTGCTCTTGCTAACTTATCTGCTTAAAATCACATTCCCCAGGGTATTTGGAATTTATATGATTTATTAGCAGCTCTGCACAGCTCAGCAATCACATGAAGTAACCGACGAGGTAAGAAGCACCCAAGTTAATAGACCAGCATGATTTGGATATTGGTGAGAGAGCCCAGACCTTCCAACTTGAGAAATCCACCATCCCTTCCTCTGTCTGCTTTTCATCTTCCATTACCCAGCTACTTTAGCTCCAAGCTGCGGCTCCAGAGATTCCCAGAGGAATTAAAAGAGCCCTCGATATTATAAATACTCTTTTTCATTGTAAACACACCCCGGCACTCAGAGCTCTGACACGGCTCCAAACTGGCTCCGCAAACCACTCTGCTCCTCGCCACATTCCAGCTGAGCCGCGCTCTCCCTTCCAACCCAGCGCTTTTGTCCAAGCGAGACCCAACTGCAGGCACAGAGGATTTTCCTGTGTGCCTAAACCCTTGTTCCAGCGAGCTGGGAACGCGGGGTTTTGGGGCAGAGATCGGCTTTAGGAGGAACGAGGCCGTGCCACGAACCGCGCGGGCAGATGGAAGCACGAGCTGCCCACGTCAAAGAGAGTCACCGAAGAAACCAAACCATGCCTTGGACTTTCCCACATGGTGGAAGGCTAGAGCAGAGCCCAGTCCAGTCTCAGGGACACACCAGCCCTTGGCATGTCAGGGAAGGGTGGGGGAATGGCCAGGAAAGCAGTGATTTAGGCTATATTTACTCAGCTGTCTCCATTCTCTGCTCTCACAGAGAAAGTCACAGGGCCAGTTCCCCAGCGGCTCCAAGAGCTGCTTGGGAAATCAAAGCCGTGCATTAATGGGAGGAGAGGCAGCCTCGACTCCATTGAAAGGCAGCGCTGGGGCCGCTCCAGCTCTTCACAGCTCGCATTTCTCGACAGTTTTGCCCCCTGGTTTTATCTCCCATCGATCACAGACCCCCCCAGTTTAGGAGGTACATGACCATGGGAACCTTCCTCCTCAAGGGGCTGAGAAACATCCCCAGGAAGAGAAGAAATGCAATGGCCAACCTCCCTGGGAAGCAGTGGGGGGCTCATGCCAGAGCCAGGGCTTGGGGGATGCCGTGCAAAGCCACCCTTGGGCTGAACCTGGCACATCCCTGGGGCACCAGCTCCAGCCAGGGAACAGCCAGGTCCGAACTGCCCCGGGCAGGGGGAACAGAGCTGGGACTCTGAGAGGCCCACGGGACCCCCAGGACTCTCGGTGATGGGGATGTACCGTGCTGGGGGTCCCTGCACTGTCACCACCGTGGGGACAGTGGCACGGGGGGGGATCTGTGATGGCACTGCTGGGCTGCAGGCAGGCCGGAGGGATCGGGGACACGGCCCGGGCAATCGGGGGGAGCAGGGACAGGGACAGCTCGGGGGGGAATCGGGGGGCACAGCCGGGGCATAGCCCCGGCAATGGGAGGACACAGAGACAGCCCTGGGGGGGACCGGGGGGCATAGCCCCGGCATCACGGCGAAGCCACACGGCAGTGGCACTGTCCTGGCAGCGGGACACCCTGTGCCGGCAGCTCCCGAAGGGTCCGGGGACATCCTCGAGGCTGCCCCGTGAGGGACAGAGACAAGCCCCGGGGCGCCTCACGCTGAGGGGGTCCCGACGCCCACCCTGGGCCTGGTCCCGATCCGGGCTCGCTCTCCCCGATCCCGATGCCCCCGATCCCGATCCCGCCGCTCCCGGCCCCGCCGCACCTCTCCGCCGGCCCCATCCGCCGCCGCTCGCCTCCAGCCCGCTGCTGCCTCCGGCCCGGCGGAGCCTTGGACAGGCCCGAGCGCCGCCGGAACGGCCCGAACCCGCCCCGGAAACAGCCGACAGCAGACGAGAGAGAACGGAACTGCCCGAATCTATCCCGGAAATAACCGAGAGGAGACGACAGAGGACGGAGCTGCCCGAAGACTCCGGCCCCGCCCCTTCCCTGGCCCGATCGCTATCGGGGCCCCGCCCCTCCCGCGAGACTCTCCGGAAGGAGACGAGGGGGCTCGGAGGGAGAGCGCGGCGGCGCCCCCTGGTGGCGAATGGAGCAGGCACCGCGTCGGGCGCCGGGACCGAGCCGGGATTGAACCGGGATTGAGCCGGGATTGAACCGGGATTGAGCCGGGATTGAACCGGGACTGAACCGGGATTGAACCGGGATTGAACCGGGATTGAGCCGGGATTGAGCCGGGATTGAACAGGGATTGAGCCGGGATTGAACCGGGACTGAACCGGGATTGAACCGGGATTGAACTGGGGCTGAACCGGGATTGAACCGGGACTGAACCGGGAACGAGGGACAGCACCGGGATTGAACCGGGACTGAGCCGGGATTGAAGCGGGATTGAGCCGGGATTGAACAGGGATTGAGCCGGGATTGAACCGGGACTGAACCGGGGTTGGACCGGGACTGAACCGGGAACGGGGCACAGCACCGGGATTGAACCGGGACCGAGCCGGGATTGAAGCGGGATTGAACGGGATTGAACCCGGATTGAACCGGGAACGGGACATAGCACTGGGATTGAGCAGGGATTGCACCGGGAACAGGGCACAGCACTGGCACAGCACGGGCACTGGACATGGGCACAGCACCGGGACTGCGCTGGGCATGAGGCACCGGGCACGGCACGGGGACAGAGCATGGGGCACGGATTTGGGAATGGGGCACGGATTTGGGAAGGGGGCATAAATTTGGGAATGGGGTACGGATTTGGGAATGGGGCATACCTGGAGCGGGGCGTGGCACCGAGCATGGGGCACTGCCCCGGGCACAGGTCACTGAGGTGCAGGACACTGCTCCGGGCACCCACACCGGGACCCGGTACTGGAGCCAGGCTGGGTGCCAGCCACCCCGGTGCCACTGCAGGGCCACCTCCCCTCCCCTCCCACCTGTGCTGACCCCTTGCCATCGCCCCCAGAGCGGGCACTCGCTGCCCTGCATGCTCCAGTGCCACTGGACACCACACTCAGCGCAAGGAACAATTTTAATCCAACATAAAACTTCCCGAAGGTACGAACAGAGCCGGGCACTGGGCAGGAAGACACAGTCCCCTTGGCTTTTAAGACATTTCCCATTTAAAAAATCCTCTTCCCACCCTGTCCACGCCAGCAGTGCACAGCCAAGCCCCCCCATGGCACCGTGCCAGTGGGCAGGGGGTGCCCGCTGTCTCCCCAAAACCCCGCTGCCTTTCCAAGACCTTCATACAGAGAGTGGAGGGAGAAGCAAAGGAAACACGGAGCAGCTCTGGTTGCTCGTTTTTGGGGGGGTTTAACAGCACCAGTTGAACGGGAGAAGCGGGATACGGAGCCTGGCACAAACCACACGTGCACAAAAGAATCCAACACGCAGCCCAAAAATCCACCGGGGGTACGGTGACACCTGATGGCAGCGGGGTTGGCAAACCAGGGATGTCCCCCTGTCACCACCACGGCACCAAACCACGGTGGGGGGGGAAGCCAGAACATGCATCAACAAATGGAAACGTTTATAGCCCAGAAAATGGTAGAAATGGGGGAGAAATGCTGGGTTGAGCTGTCGTTTGCTGGGTAAAGAGCAAGGAGGTGGGGAGAGAAAGGGGTGAAATTCCCAAATTACAAGTGAAGCAGCAGAGGTGCTCACTGGGTTGGGGAGATTAATAAAAAAAAAAAAAATTGGGATTTTGTAGGTGTCTGTGCACTGGCCAACCACCACCACTGGATTTTGTGGGATTTCTGAAAGAGCAAAAACTGACCCTAAAAATCCCATTAATATTCCCATCTGGGGAATGTCTCCATTTTCTCCACCTGGAAGGGCCAATGGAGCCAGGTGGCTACAAAATCTACAAATAAAATAATTAAACCCTTTTTATATCTCCTATAAGCTTATAAAATGATCCATATGCACATCATCTGATGATCCATATGCAAAGAATATCCCCCCTCTTCATCCCAGCCTGGAGCACCAGCATTTCGGGGATGTTACGGTGGATTTGGGGTTTTGTTTGAATTTTAAATATTAGAATCATGAGGTTCTTAGGAGATCTGGGGTGTTTCCAGCTAGAATTGAAATTTAAAAGTAGGGAAAAGCGAGTGGGTTAGAAAACAGTGGGCTGGGAGCTGGGAGACGCACGGGAAAGGCTGGGACTCCCAGAGCTGGGTTGGCCCCTGCGACAGTCCTGCACTGCCCGTTTAGCTTATAAAAAGTAATAAATTAATTAAGGAATATTTGCATCGAGTCCTTTCTGTACACAGAGGTTGGGGCCCAGCTGGGGAAACGCCGCTGCCGGAAAAGCTCCTGCGTCTCTATAAAAATATGAGCATCTTTCAGGGAGTACAAAAAGCCTTCCAGGGGGGCGAAGTGCCGGGGCACAGCCGGCCCAGCCAGGGTCCAGAGTGGCCCCGGGGACATTTTTCTCACGGATTTGCCGCACAGAACGGGGTGCTGGGGAGGCACTGGGATGCTGCAGGGAGCCTGAACCATCCCTGGTGCCAGCGTGGGGCTCAGGCGTGCTTGGCCCCGCTCCACACGCCCCGGGGAGCCGGGAGATGAGCACCCGTTGGCTGCTGGCCCTGTGCTGGCACCTGCCAGTGGCCGGGCGATCCCTGCCCGCAGTTCCGCTGCTGCTGGGAGCCACGGTCCCGGTGCTCACACCCATCCCACCACGGCAAGGAGATGCTGCTGTTTGGCTGCTCCGTGCTGCTGATGGGGTAGGAGCCCTGGCATTCCCACTCGGCCACCGCCGGCTCCTGCTCGTCGCTCTCCGAGCCCTGCACCGCGATCTGCGGCACCGTGCCGGGCTTCGGCTTCGGCGGCGGCTCCGCGCCGCCCTGGGCGGCCGTGCCCTGCCCCTCTTCACCCTTGCCACCATCTTCGCTTCCTGCCGCCGTCTCCTGCTCGTCAAAACTCACTTCTTGAACCGCCTCTTGCTTCTTGAAGGAGTCCCTGCGCTCCGACAGGTTCAGGCGCCGCATCACCACCATCTCCTGGTCCCGGTCGTGGCGCTCTGCCAGCCGGGAGCTGGCGGGGTGGTACCCGTGCTCCGCGGGGTACGGCAGCGCGTCGCCCTCCGCGATGGCCTCCCCATCCAGCGTGGACATCTCCAGCCCCAGCTTGCGGCCGCCGCTGGTTTTCTTCTCGGCCAGGATGGTGACGATCTTCTCGGCCGACTGGACGCGCTTGAGGAGGGGGGAGCGGGGGCAGTCGGCGCTGCGGGGCCGCGAGCTCTGCCGGACGATGGTGGGGGGGGACAGGGTCTTGCCCTGGAAGGAATGCGGGGTTTTGGGGTACCCAGGGAGCGGAGACGGGGAGCGCTGGGGGGAAGGCGGGCGCTGGGCCGAGGAAGGGGTGCAGGCCAGGGGCGAGGGGGGGATGCTGCTGGTGGATTTGCGACGTCCCACTTTGTAGCGTGGCCCACCCAGTTTGGGGGCCAGCCCGTGCAGGGAGCTGGGGCGCACGTGGCCGGCGGGTGACGTTGGGGTGCTGGAGGAGGGAGAGGTGCTCTGAGGGGACACAGCATCTGCCGTACAAAGAGAAAAGGTCACTGTAGGGGTGGAGGGACACGGCCTCCCCGAGGGACACGCAGCATCCTGCCCTGCCCCGAGCCAATATCCCCCCTTGGCGTACCTGAGGGCAGGTCGGGAGCGGGGCTGCGGCACGGCGGCGTGGGACCCGGGGACAGGCTGTGCGTGGGGGACTCCGGGAGGCTCTCGCTGGAGGACAGCGAGTGATGGAGACCAGAGGAGAAGCTGCGGCTGGTGTGCAGGACCGACGACTGCTTGGAGATCTTCTTGAAAAGGGATTTTCTCCTGCTGGAGGGACAGGAATAACTTTGGCTTCTCCTTAAAGCTGTTGGTCTCAAGTCTGCTGACCTTGTGGCAGCAGGACCCCACTGGACATCCCAGTATGGCAGATCCAGAGCATCCAACCCAGTGTTGGCAGGACCAGACCCCACTGGCCACCCTGATATGGCAGATCCAGAGCATTCCCCCAGTACCCCACACATTGAGACAAATACCACTTTATCCCAGTTTACCTACCTGTCTTGGCCATCCCTTTTCCTGCTCTTTTTACTCCTCCGTGCCATCCTTGTCTTGGAGCTGTTTTTCCTTGCAGGACCGATTTTAATGGAGGTGTTTTCCAGGGCAGTGGTCCGCAGGGCCACTTTATTCCCACTCTGAGGGATGGAAAACAAATCTTTGCAGCACCAGATCTGAGCCAGCTTCTGCCTCAGTTGTCAACAAAGGCAATGCCAGGGAGCTGCTGAATTGATGTCCTGGGACAGCAGAGTGGCTCTGGTCACCCACCTTCAGCAGCAGCTCCACGACGTCCCGATGGACCAAACCCAGCACGGACTCTCCGTTCACGTGTGTGATGAGATCTCCTGCTCTCAGCCCGGCCTCCTGCGCGGGGCTCCCCTCCTCCACGCTCTGCAACCCAAACAGAGAGGTTAAATTGGATGCCAGCTTGCTCCTGGTGTTTTCCCACTGGGAAAGGCACCGCTAGACCCCAGGGCACGTACCCAGACCATGTGGTGGACGGTGTAGACGTCGCTGTCGCCCATGTAGACGCGGATGGCTCTCAGCGTGAAGCCGTACTTCTTCCCCGAGCTGTGGATGATGATGGGCGGCCGCAGGCTGGCGATGGCCAGCGAGGAGTCTCGGCTCGGGGAGGAGTCCCGGGAAGAGGGGTTGGATGAGAGGGAGTGAGGGGAGATGGGGCTCATCAGGGCACTGCCACCGAAGTCATCTGCAAGCAGAAGGAGCCACCTCAGTCCGGCAAAACCACGAGACAGTGGCCATCCAGCAGGGTAAACCACACAGCACACAGACCTGAGGTGATGATGAGGGACAGGGCCGAGACAGAGGCAGATTTGGGCACACGGCTGCCCAGGGAGGC